CCCAGGATATCCTGTTGCTGTCGTAGGATGATTTAAAGCGAGCCCTCAAGGAATCCTGGCTGAGGTACTTGTAGCTTATAGATTTCTACGAGGGCGGGTCAATAAGTCCGTGACTTTTTAAATGAAACACAATTTTTTTGATAGAATGTTATTTTATTTTTCAACGTAGTCTCCTTTGAGCTCTATATACTAAGCCCAACGTTTCTCCAATTTTTTTATACCTTCCGAAAAGTATGATTTGTCGAGGTCTTTAAAATAGGCATTTTTTTGTAAGATGACTTCGTCGTTGGACGCAAATCTCTTTCCACTGAGCCATTTCTTTAAGTTTGGGAACAAGAAGTAATCACACGGGGCTAGATCGGGAGAATAGGCCAGATGAGGGAGCAATTCGTAGCCCAATTCATGGTTTTTTGCCATAGAAACTGAACATGTGTGTACCCGTGCATTGTCCTGATGGAAAATGACTTTTTTCTTGGCCAAGTGTGGTCGCTTTTCTTTCAATGCCTCATCGAATCGACCCAATAAGTTGCTGTAATATTCACCATTGATTGTTTTTCCTTTTTGAAGGTAGTCAATGTGGATAATACAGCGTGCATCTCAAAAAACAGTCGCCATGACTTTATTGGCTGAAAAACCCACCTTTGCCTTCTTTGGCGCCGATTCAGCCCGTGAAACCTACTGTTTTGACTGCTGTTTGGTCTCTGGTGTATTGTGGTGGATTCACGTTTCGTCCAAGGTTACGAAACGGCGCAAAAACTCGTTCATATTGAGATTGAACAACCCCAAACGTTCCTGCGAAATTGTCACACGCTTGCGTTTGTGGTCGATTGTGAGCAAACGCGGCACCCATCTTGCGGAAAGCTTTCTCATACCCAAATGATCGTTTAAAATTCAAACCACTGAGCCATGCGAGATGCCCATGGCTTCCACAATCTCTTTCACTTTTAATCGCCGATCGGCTAAAACCATATCGTGGATTTTTTCAACGGTTACGGATGTGGAGACCTCACATGGGCGTCCAGAACGTTTGGCATCTTCTGTGCTGGTACGGCCACATCGGAATTCAGTAAACCACTTTTTTACCATGGAAATGGATGGTGCAGAGTCCCCATAATATTTTTCAAGCTTAGCCTTGGTTTGCTCAATGGATTTTTTCCGCAAAAAATAATGCTTAATGAACGCACGAAATTCACTTTTTTCCATTTTCTTCTCAATCAACGCGGTAGTCTGATTTTAACGGCTGTTAAAAACTAACTAAATGTCACAGCTTGTTAAATTTTCGTCAGGAGTCATCTGATAAATGACTGTTGACGGGAGCAGTGTTGCCATTTCAATTAAGAGGCGGAAAAATAAAAAAGTCACGGACTTATTGACCCGCCCTGGTATTACAGACATCCATAGGATAGTCATCAATTTTTTTTTTTAATCGCTGTTAATTGTGTCTGGGGTATTGCAATAGATTCGCCCTGTATTGCGCACTCATACACACATTCAAAGTCGATGGCACCACACATTATGTGTGTGAGTAGAAAACGTGTTGTTCCAATACTCAGTACAATTTACCTACATAATGGAATATGTTCAAAATAAAATAAAAACTTTAAAATTAAATAAATAATGTATTTTCGTAACTTAACACATAGTACTTAAATCACTTTCGAACAATGTTTTCGTATCCTAATAATTTCATAACAACTGATATTCTTTACTAATCTTTTAATTTTTCGGTTACATTTACATTCGCTGGGTCGTTTGTTACTTCCCCTGTCATCACGTTACTATCGCCTATTCTATTCGGCTCATTTAACTGAGTGGAGATGCTATTCGAAGTACTTTCTTGCGGTTTGGAGTCCATGTCACTTGCTGCGGCAGGCGCTGCGGTAGTCACATTTTTTCTATTAAACTCCTGAACATATGGTGGCATTGAGCTGCTATGACTACTAATGGAGTGATGGTCAGATATGTCCTCACAGTCCTCAGACTTAAACCTTGAACAGTAACCATTTCGGCAGTATGAGAAGATACCAGCACATTGGACTAATAGCGCGAAGTTGCCGGGGTAGCAGTGAAGGGCACTTTTGCAACTCAGGCATTTATAGCCGGGCTGTGAACAAAGGAAACAAATTGTTTAAATCTAAGTAGGTCCTAAAATTGTCCCTTGTAGTAAACCACTGGAAAAATTTTACATTAAATAAAATCGGCCCATGCCTCTTACAGTAATGGTTATAAGGCAGGTTGGTACACCTTTAATACCAACAGAAGATAAAGTATCCAACCTTCAAGGATACTAATAGGATTTTATGTATTGATTACCCAGTTAAAAGTTTGCCCCAAGTCACAAAAAATAAAGAATGTAAAAATAGGAAGTTTACCTCTGTTCTGTAATCGCAGGCCCAAGGGTTGTAGTGGGCTCTATTGAGTGCACTAGCATAAACATCAAAATGCGTGTAATTGTCTGGTCGGAAAACTGGAATCTGAGCTAAAACAGCAACATTAATATTATGCTTACAATTTTCTGTTTAATTTCATGTCATTCTTCAGTTAATCCAATGTTATTCTTTTCTTGTACGTTTCAAAGCAACGTTTACTTATTAAGAGATGTAGTTTTTTTGTTTTATTATAAACGTAGGTAGTACATAACTTACCCAACTCCGTCCTCCCGCGAATAGGAGCTAGATTAATCTGAAACGAAAACAAAAACTTGTGTTTAAGACGAACATTTAAACAATAACAGCTAGCTTCTTATATTTACCAAGACAGTGAAAATAATTGGCAAGACCATCTTTTGAATTTCTACCCAATAAAACGTTTGTCGCGTACCTACTCAAAGGCAAGTAGTTGGTGAAACACGTAAATCGTCGCTTATATAGTGTGGAATTAATTACCAATGTAAATATGCCAAGATGCACGACAAAGATATTCACGACTAATTAACTTTTAAATATCTTGATTTAGGAACAATAATTAATCATGGGTCGATCTGTTAAAGTAGATGGATTCAAATTAAATCGATTATTTTATTGGTAACGGTATATAAACTAAAGAAATGGTTTTAGTCTATGGTATTGTTTTATGTAAGGTTTTCTTAGGCTAAGTTAGTATATATAAGATTGAGAAGAATTGTGATAAAAAGTTAACAAAATGTAAATCTTTTTTACAAAAAGAATATAAAAGTAACTGTCGCGTGTAATGTACTAATAAACTAATTATGCAAGAGAGTGTCGGCCGCACAAAACATGAATAAAAAAACGTATACATATGTGTATAGTCACTTCACTCACTTTCCTACCGTTACACACGGCTAATTACTGAGTAAAAAATCTGAATATGTAACTGTTAATGAGCAAATAAATTGAAATAATTGATCAGACAATAGCTCACCCACCTTCTATAGGTAACTTACTTGACTTAATATCCTGTGTCCCCTAGATGGGGCAGAGGGCGTCCACTGAAGTTCTCCATCGCGATCTGTCTTGAGCGTGATGACGTGATGAGGTGAAGCGTGAAGCTTCACCTCACTCCACGTCATACCGATGCTCGTCGCTTCTGCCAGTACAGTACGGTGCAACACCAGGTTTGCCGTGGATGTTCACGCTTTCTTTTCCCTTGGGGATTCCTATCCACGGCTTGCTTGGGTATGTGGCCAGGACCCCTTCGAGCGTGTGCCCTATTCATCCCCACTTGCGGCGCTTGATCTGTCGGTCGATTGGGCTTTCGTGGCATTTCTCCAAAAGCTCTATGTTGGATATTGTCTCGGGCCAGTAAATTCCGAGAATACGACGCAGGCGCCATCTATAGGTAACATCCCTTTTACGTGGGACTCATTACACAATCGATGAAAATATTGTAAATATTCAGTATTTTTTTTTTAATCGGTCGGTACCTAAACGTCCATCCATGATCCATGCAAGAACGGAGAAGTTACAAGTGTGTTGCCGACCTTTTGGGGATTAAATGTTTGAAGATTGGAATTTGGGGATCGGATGGATCTGCACTTCTGCAGATGAAAGCGTAGGTACTGAAAGGGAATGGGGACCGCTTGATATTTTTTATTATCTACTATTTTTTCGGTCCCGCATCGCGACGTATTTTCGTTATTTTTTACTTTTCAAAGGTAGAGAGATTATACGAGTATCAGTTTTCTGTTGGGGGTTTTTGAAATTTAAATTTTCTTTTTATTTTATCCTTTTTATAGGTATTTTTTATCATTTCATATTGCTAAGAGCACTCTCGATTAAGTCATCAACATTCCATTTTAGTGCGCTTTCATTTGAGAAACTCGAACAAGTATATTTGCAGACCTTCGGTTACCCTTCCCCACTGGGGGTGTACCCGCATAACTTCTAAACGGCTCAACCGATTTTCATCAAACATCTCTAAGAGCACTCGAACGTTAGTCACCTTTAATAAAAAAAAACTAAATTGTAATCGCTTCATCCGTTCAGGCTAGTTTGCCACAGACAGACACGTTAATCTTATAACACCCCTATTTTCCTATTTCCGAGGTAGGTACAAAATGAGCTTGAGATTTTTGAGGGGGGAAATCATCAAATGAAGAGTTCCTTCTCCTGCTCCAGGAGGAGGTCGCTGTACCTTATGGCTGCACTTGCCCCGCAACCTTGAACCCATCGGCCCTTTTGATACCGTTTGTTTACAACTAACGTAATTTCTGAAAGTTACAATATTGTTTCTCTATGGATTTGATTTTCATAACCCGCATGGGACTGAAAATTTTGCCAATATTTTTTTTTAAAACATTGCCCCACATTAGGATTTTCTCCTGTATCGTGGGTGCGGTTACAAACAGATCACACAACGAGTTGTCCGTGCGGGAATCTAACCCGCAACACGTTGCACGGCAGCTAGTTGTCTTTCTGGAAGCCACATTATTCGTCTGTGGATTTTCTCGATCCTCATTGGACGTAGACGTACAAATGGGAAACAAGTAGACAAAAAACAAGAAACAATCAATTTCAGTAAAATATGTATATGTATCGTTTTTTATTTTAAAAGAAAAATAGTAAAAATCAACTTCAAAATAGTATTTTCTTTAATAAAATATTAATCATTCATAAACATTGGACGGTTATAATTATGATAAGACCCTTTTCAAAAAAACATTTTCTTACAAGCTAGTTTCTAACTGACACTTCAAGCTGTTCAGCTTGCTTTCCACATATTTCAGATCATGAATTCTTTCCAAAGTATTAACATCCGAAGGTTCACTTATATTGGCAGCACTGTCTTCTAGAGGCATCTCTACAATACTAGCATTTACTGGAATATTCCATATGTGTTTGGTTATTGTTGTGTTCTGATTATTAACGTTAATCGTCAGCACATTTTTTGTTTCAATATTATTTTCGGGTTTTCCTGAATCTTCTTGCCTTCTCTTGGGTTGAGTTAACTTGGTGGTGGATAGCATGCTTGTCATATCGTTCATTTGGTTAAGGATATCTGTAACAAAGTAATAATAATAGGTAAATATAAAGTTTTTATATGCAACATCACTTTCTTAAAGCTACCATTCTACCTGTAATTTGTAAACTTGTAGTTTCATCCATTATGTCTTCTTTCTCATAATCTCCATTATTTTCATCATTGACCTCTATATCTCTATAAACAGGGACCTTGCACTGTCTGTTCAACACCGCCCTTCTCAAGGACGGACGATTTCTGATCGGCGAAAAGTTATACAGAACTGAGAAAGACGAATCTCTAACTTTACCCAGTTGTTTATTCACAAACACTGTTTCATTACATGCGGCGTTTTGTTCGTGATCTCCCGAATTACTGAACAATTGATCCAATTGAACGGAAAAACTAAGCTCGCTACACATTTTTGTCTTTAAGTGCTTCGTTAGTTTTGACAAGGGAAAGTTCCTTGTTGAAGAGCGGACGTTGGTTCTTGCGAAAATGCTTCTGGACATGTTGACGGGTTTTCGTGGCGATTGTATGTAAGTGTCGGAGTTCTTCACGACAGTGTGTGTAGTATTCTTATATCCCATTTGCGGTTCTTCCTCTCCTTCGCAACCAAGCCATTGGTCCTCATTCTCCTTAGGATAATGCAAACTATGAATTCTGGACACCAAAGTGTAAAGAAGTTTCACCCTTTTCACAAGTTGTTCTAGGGACACTTCTTTATTATTTTTTGGCATTTTCACGTTGTATACGAAGTCGCCGCTGCCGCTCAGCAGATTACTAACGATTTTGCATTCTTTTTGAACTGTAACAGGAGATTTACATGTAACTTTTCGTGTCTCGAGGGGTGATATTAGTCAAATCGTGTAGATCATAAAAATCAGCTTAGAATATCATCTTACCTTTATCCAAATCCGACAGCAATACTAATAGTTTGTCATGGTGCTCCAAAGCATTTGGTTCATACTTGTCATACACATTGAAGAAGTCATAAACCATGCACCCCATGTTGATGACTGCACATACATTTGCATTGTTGTAACAATTGTCCTTCAGTATTGCAAGCACTCTCTGATGCATCATTTGCTTCGATTTCTGAGAACAAACAACTAATCAATATAATATGAACCTTAACATAATGGTAAGAATGGTTTTCTAGAGCAATATATAGACTACATAATGAAATATATACTACTCTGTCAAGAAAGTACCGGAAAAAAGTCAATAATACACAAAATGTTTGTTATTCATCTAAATTTATTTTATCACCTTCAAAGTATGCTCCTTCAGAAACGATACACTTACGCCAACGAATAATCCAATCATCGAAACTTTTTTTAAACGCTGTTTCCGGAATTGAGTTCAGTGCTCGCCGCGAATTCTCCTTTACCTATGTCTTCTAACGATTGAAAACGGGTGCCACGAAGGGGTAATTTGAGTATGGGAAAAAGAAAGAAGTCGGCTGGAGCCATATCTGGTGAATATGGTGGCTGCTCGATGGTGTTTGTTGAGTGTTTGGACAAAAAATCGTTTACAATGATGGCCTTGTGCGAAGGCGCATTATCGTGATGCAAAATCCAAGAATTTTCTTTCCACATTTCTGGCCTTTTTCGTCGAATTTGTTCTCTTAAACGCCGCATAACGCTCAAATAATATTCTTTATTTACCGTTTGACCTTCGGGCAAAAATTCTGAGTGCACAACACCGCGATAGTCAAAGAAAACAGTCTACATGACTTTGACTTTTGATCGACTTTGACGTGGTTTTTTCGGTTTTGGTTCAGTTGGAAGGCGCCATTCCGAAGCTTGTTGACTAGTTTGCATGTCAAACTCGTAAACCCACGTCTCGTCACCAGTAACTGACTACCGGTATTGACTCGTTCTAGCATGTCCTCAGCGACTTTCATGCGATTTAGTTTTTGAAGCAAATTCAGGTCTTTTGGGACTAGCCGAGCGGCAACACGTTTCATACCCATATTATTTGTTAAAATGGTACGGATCGACTCGTGAGATACAGAAAGTTCGGCCATCTCTCTCAAACTTGAATGAGGATTTTCAGTCACTATTTCCTTCACTTTTGCGATGTTAACTTCAGTTGCAGACGTTGATGGCCTACCAGAACGAGGCAAATCTCCCATCACATCTCGACCGCTTTTGAACGCTTTGTACCACTCATAAGCACGTGTTTTTGATAAAGTCAATTCACCGTAAGCCTTCTGTAACATTTTGAGTGCCTCCGAACACGAAATTTCATTGGCGATGCAAAATTAATTTAAAAGACAAACTCTTTGTTCGATGTTTTTGTCCATTATGAAATTCGCAATACACACTAGATATTATAAAACTAAAAACAGCACTGTTTTTAATATAAATAACAGATGCAACTCAAATTCCGCGCCAAAATGGAAAACAGTTATGCCAATCTAACAACAACAAAAAAATTGAAGTTCGAATTTGGAACCATAAAAAAAACATTCATTCCCGATACTTTGTTGACTGAATGTTGACTGAATGTATAATAAATACTAAGAAAATTTTGTAGACTATTCCAAAAGTAGGACATTCTTAATCATTAGTATAAGTCACCATACCTCAGCAAAAGCACTTGGATCTACAATCAAGTACACATTATCTCGAATTTCTTGAACTTCATGCTTCCAAGAATTGATCAGCAGTGTGGCATGATGGCTGTCTGGAGACATCATCAATGCTGGGACCAAATGAGGATCTAAAGCTTCCAAGCTAGCTAGACCACTTCGGAGTGAGAGAATTCCTGGAAAACGCAAAAAAACAGTCATTATTATAATAATCTTTTTTGCTGATTATTAGAAGTATGTTTATGTTTAGTAAAACAAAGAACATTTTTAGAGCTTCCCAGAGATCCAAGTCTACTTTTGATTGTCTTGCTTAAGTACATTATGTGGATGTGGCATGGCAGTGTTAATTTAGCATTACATATCTTGAGTACAACATACTTACTATTTTGATCAGAAGAGCAGGAAACAGCAAAGTTACCAATCTGCAGCAATCTCTCATTGTACAAATCAAAATCCTTCACAAATGAGCAGTTCTCTGTGACTTCATCTTCACTCTTGAGCAGACAAGAGCAAGTTCCTTTAGTACCATTATTAAAATGGTCTTTAAGGATAGATATAGGAGACTTGTTGTAAGTAAAACAGCGTGCTACTAATGCTAGTAGGGCAGTATTTGTGTTAGTTTCAAGAGCATACAAGACATCTTTTAGCACATCAATAAGAACATTAACATTTGATGGCATTATAGGCAGCTTCAGTGTATCTGGTGAAGCTTTAACAGTTGAGCTCAAGTCCCCTTCTATCAGTTCACCAAGTAATGCTTTTGTTTCTCTTAATACCTGCAAAAAAACAAAAAAAAATTAAATTATTCATAATTTTTATAATTATTAATCCTCTGAACAAATCCTCCCTTTTCACATTTAAAAAAAAGGTAGGATAAGTGAGAGAGTTAGAAATAGTTTTGTAATTTAACATAATGCACAATCTCATGCATCTTGTTTAAAAAGTATCTATTACAATATAATATTGTACAGCCAAAAAGTTGTTTAACACACTAATCTTCAAGTACTGGTTCCAATTGAACAACATGTTTTGCATTGGATAGCCCATTTATTGATGAAGGCTATACAATATAGGCTATAAAACATCACACTTAAACCCATACTGAGCAGAGCAGAGTAGCATACTTGAAAGTGATAATAATACTTACCACTTGACAGCGAGCCTTCACAATATGCTGATCATCTGCCAAACAATATCTACACAGAGTCATTGCTGAAAGCAGGAGCTCATCAATAGACACATGCAACCCACTTACACACTCCACCATCTGGAAACATAAGAACAATTTACATTACAATATTGTTAATGACTCCTCAAATCTTCTAATCTCCTAGTAAGATGTTTTTTAACATAAACTTAGACCTTTTAATTCTAGTAGGGGTTGGCAGATTAACACATTACACACAACAATTAGGTATTTAATTTTGAGCAAAAAAAATTTTTTTTTCTTTGTCCAATAAAAGAAATAATTAAGAAATGTTTCTTTTATATTTCATTTTTTTTTATTTTACTGTTTATTTTTTTTTTTTTAAATGAGTACTACATTACTATTTGTCATATCAAAAAGGTTTTAATGTTTAGATTGATTGAGTGAAATGATTGATGATGATTGTATGACCAATACTAAAAGTGATGCAAAGGCTTATATGAGACAGCTATAGAAAATCTCAGTAGCATTTATTTACAAAATTTTTATAATTTAAATGTATATTCTATTCTATTTACACTACTTACTGTATCCTTCCATTGGCCATAAAGTTCTTCAGATTCCTTATAGTCAGTCTTATAGACAGCATCAGCAAGTTTACCAAGTACTTCAAATGTGTGGTCAATCCAGTTGACAAAGTACATTGTTGTCATATTAAAGGAATTATTGCCGCTCTCATTTGAATCAGACGAGGTTGAGCTTTTATTCAAATAGTTTTCAACTACTAACAGCCTATTTATACACCATGACAGTCTTTCAATATTGTATTGACGACTTTCCTGAAATTTCAACATAAATAATGTAAAAACTGTCTCATTACTTTAGTGTTAGAAAGTAGGACTATAAACAGTATTAAAGTTTCGTTATAAGATCAATCAGGGATCGAATATGAAACATAATGAATATAAATTTCACCGCATTGACCAAATTTTATTATATCTACTAGGTAACTGTTTACATTCATATTCATCTTATTTTTTTTACCTGTAGTAAAATTTGATGACGAGCTTCAATTTTGAAGATGTCAAATAAACTGATCAAACATTTATTAATTTGGCTCGAACATAATGTATAAACATCTCGAACTTTTGCAATATCCTCTTCGTCTCCATCGTATAACAATAATTTATTACGCAAACGTTGTGTTAGCGGGTGGATTTTATCCAGTAAAATGCTCTGAAAGTACACGAAAGTTTTAGGTGAAATATTTCGTAAGATGTACTAAAATTGTTTCACTAGAATATTTATTACCAAGACATGTTTTGTAGCAGCACGAGCATCTTGGGGAATATCGGCTAAATCTTCAAAGCTTTCGTCCATGTTCACGTTGATATAACAATATTATATTTAAAAATTCAAAAGTTAACGATGCACTAACGTTGGACAGGAAAACAAACAATATTGACATTTGACAATCAATTTGACATCCCTCGAGCTGTTAATGTCAATAAATCGTTTTCAATGTCAAAAAAATGTTTTTTGGTGAGATAAATGCAGCAAACATAAGTTACTAACAAAATTGACTAAAATTTCCAATTTCAAAGCTATCACTGTCACACTTGTACGCACTCCACTTAAATGTTTTAAATTATGAAATGCCACTATGTTATGCGTCTGTGATCAATCGTAATGCTGTGCGAATACATTATGTGTCACTGATTTGACCTCACTTGTGTAGATAAAAATAAAAAGATACCTATTATTTATTACACTAAAAATACTAAACCATTTATTACTTTACTAGTGCATGTTCACATCCTTATTTTTGACAGACAGATGTCATGTCAAAGAACGCCATATCCATTGTTATTTCGATTCCGGAATAAATCTAGAAAATATTGTTCTTATAAAGGTTTAGAAAGTACGGAACAATGAGTGAATTAGTTTGGGGAATTAAAAACGGCGATATCGATCAAGTAAAAGACATAGTAGAAAACAAAGTAAGTGAATCTCCTTATGTTCGTAAATCGGTTATTTTAATGAGAAGATTTACTTAGTAGTTGACAAGAGAAAGCAATGTTTCTCATTAGTATCCAGTATTATTCAATTTATATTAATTAGAAACCTACAAACGAAAACTTATTCCTGTATTATTTCCAGCGTATAGAATCTTAAATTATTGTGCAATAATGCAATGAATATGGCTGCATTAGAATAGACTTATTAAAATGATTACACGCCCTCACTGCAGACTGCAGACATATGCTGATTAGAGTTGTTGCGCTTATAAGACCGAGGTTACATTTGTGAACCTCTTTCTATTAGTTAAAATACTATTCAAAGAATAAAATTATACTTTTTCAGAAAATTGATGTCAATGCTCTAATTGATGGAAGGGTTCCTCTTCATTATGCTGCTGACTATGGACAGACAGCTGTTTTGAACTATTTGCTGGACAAAGGTGCAGACCCTAACGTAAGTGGGTTTACTCATCATAATGGGCATGTCAACAAAAACTTAAACTTTGTCTAATTCAATTGTGCATTTCAGATGTTGGATAAACATGGCATTTCAGTATTGTTAGCAGCAATTTGGGAAGGTCACACAGATTGTGTTAAAACATTACTCAAAAATGTAAGTAAACTTGAAATAATGGATTCTTTTTGCAAAATTAATATGCATGACTTGCAATTTTACAGTTATGGTTTGCAATAATAAAATTATTGTTTTGCAACTAAGCCTTGGAATTAAATAACAGTTATTATTAGTCATCCATTTGTCTTTATAGGATAAGTTAGATCTTTCTGTGAAGTGGTAGGTATTAGATAGACCAAATGTTAATTTATTTAGTTATATCCTTAGAAGTTATTTGTTTTATTTTACAGGGTGCATCTAAAAATGGAAAAACCCCAGATGGAACTCCATACATTGAAGCTGCAGAAAAAGATGAAATCAAGGAACTTCTCACATAGAAATGAAATCTTTTATACCAGAACTATATAACAAATAATCGCTCAGATTTATGTTTTGATGCTAAGATAAATTCACTAAGATCAAACAATAAATTAATTCCATTATAGAATATTTTTACAAGCATTTATTTACATTGTAATGAATTATTTTTATACGCTCAACATATTGATCTATAAAATATGTATTTGATTATGCGTCCATTTAGTAGTGTGTGTATCTATAAAGGCCTGACCTCCCTTATGGGGGTAATCAACAGCAATCACCTGAAATGTGATGGCTAGCTCATCCTTTCAGTGGAGATTTGTAAGAAGCCCCATAATCTAAATTTAGCAAATAAATTATTTAAATATTAAGGCGTAATTGCAGCAAGTAAGATGTAATTTTTATCGCTAAAATAATAAACTGATATAAGCAAACCACATTTTATTTTCTTTTGTATAAAAAAGTATGAACATACGTTCATACATTACACAGAGTTTTTAGTTCCACAAAAAATCTAGATAGCTGACCACCAAATTGTCAGTTTCATTCCAAAATTCACACGACTCTTTCTTGTAATCTTAAACTACATAATGTATGCTTACAACATATTTAATAAAAACAAGCTGGACTAAAAATTCCTCAGAGTCGACAAACATTCACAATGACTTTGGACTATCACACTATATAGGGTCCCCTCTCAATAAATAAATAAAAACAGTTTTAGTTTTTCATAACCCTATAAATATCACAAAAAATATCTTTGGATGAAATAAAAGTCACAGAAATGATTATAAGTCCCCACTTCCAGGATATTTTTTATACTTATTGTTTTTAGGCTGGGGACAATAACAAGCGTTTTTCTGAGCATCAAGGTATGATTTGCAACCAAGTGTTAGAGTACCGGTAAACAACAACTTTGCTGCAGCTTTGCAACCTGAAATTAAGTAATACTGTTTTAAGTATGACACAAAAAACAATCAATATATGAGGATAGTTACAAGAGCCTAAATATATTCTAATGTTTTATGGCTTACCACTTAGACCATAATTCAGAATAATTTACTGAATATGTCACATGAAACTATCATGTGAGATTATACCTATGTAAGACAAGAACATACCTTTAGTAATAGTATCCCCTGCAACATTCAAAGATTTATAACTGTCACAGTAGTTATAAAGGCACCTTTTAAAATCTAAATCACAGGTTTCTTTGCCACTGTTACATGTGTCATAGCAAATATCATGACTATCACAGCACTTAGTCATTTCTTCTAATGGCAAATATTCTGATGCAATCTCAAAGCCAAGGGATCCACAACCATCTGACTTAGGTATATGATTCCTATTACGCACTGGTCTAGATCCTGAAAAAAAAATATTTTTGTACAATAAATTCGAAGATTGAATTGTGTCAATTAATCATTCTTGCAGTCACCGCTTTTTCAATACCTAATTATTTCATTTAAAATATACCTTCTGGGCAGCTGAATATGCATTCCTCTTCTACTGCTGCATCAAATACTTCATGTAACGACCTGAACTTTTCAGCCACTGTTATAACATTCTTAAACATATCTCCAAAAACTGACTCAGCCGATAGTACTGCATCTTTTAAATTCCTTAACATACTAGAGCCCATGCCAGTATACGCATAGGCTACGAAAGTTAAAATATAAATCGCGATTTTTCTGTATGGAATCTCCATGTTTATCAAAATTATCGCGATGGTCTTAAGAACATCTTCAGCAAAAGCTGCTTTTAGTTCCCTCTACCCAGTGCTTTGAGTACACGTAATTTTTAAATCTTGGTCTTGGAATTCTGCCAAAATAAAAATGTCAAAATAAAACTTAACCTGTTTATGTCATCTTTCTTTAACAGCTGACTTGAATAGTCGAATCCTGTAGAATAAGTAGAAGAAGCTTAGTCGATTCAAAATAAAATCATTTTAGTATGGCAACATTTTTAGTCCCTCAACGTCCGGTAGCCATATTGTTTTAAAAAGTTATCCTTTTCCGTTTTGTTGTCGTGAAAATGACGGGCTTTAGCAATAAGGTGAGAAGAAAAAATATTAAAAATTAACTAAAAGCCATAAAAATTGTTAAAGTGAATATAAATCTTAAAGACAAACTAAATGTGATTTACATAATAACATTTTAGTAACATTCAACGTGTGACAAATTCTACAACATGCACCGAACGTGCATCACACGTGCTTCTTCGTGTCTAACTTTAATTACAAGGAGTTACTGTACAACACCGTTCGTATTGGCTATATTGCAAGAAATTCCGAGATTCCTGCTTCAAAAATTGTGTTAAATATAAATGAAATCTCAATTAGTGTTATAAATTTTGAGGTTATGCTGTACGTCAGCGGCGGTTAACTTCTGTGATTTTTTGTGTTCTAGGCCATAGTGATCGATGGCCGTGGCCATCTCCTGGGCCGCCTGGCCGCAGTAATTGCTAAGGTCCTGCTAGAAGGTAACAAAGTCGTGGTCGTGCGATGTGAGCAGATCAACATCTCTGGCAACTTCTTCAGGTAACAACAGTGCTTTATTTGTGTTTATTTGATGCATATGGTATTACAAATAGCTTTTAACACTCTTTTTACCTGTTATCGAATCTTTAGAGATTCTCATAAATTACATGTCGTCGAAATTAAACTGTTTGACATAGCACATTGTGATGAATGAATTTCTTTTGAAAAAACCACATTGATGAGAGAGAGAAGTGTTTATACCTGAATAACATGTGCATGCTTAGGGCTAAGAACTAGAGTAAAGGATATTATGGTGTGTTTTTCCTAATAATATACATGCATATTGTAAAAAGCTATTTTTCATTTGTGTATAGCAATCGAAAGGAAGTCAAATAATAATTAGTCTATTCATCTATGGAAAATGATGTTTCATTGGGTAATTTGCGACTGAATATTGAAAAATATACATGTTGTCAACTAATAAACATAACTGATAATGTTTGGGCTGTTTTAAAAATCTGCTATACTAATTCATAGTTTAAAACTTATATTTTTTTAATATTCCAGGAACAAATTGAAGTTCATGTCATTCCTTCGTAAGAGGTGCAATGTGAACCCAGCTCGTGGACCTTTCCACTTCAGAGCTCCTTCCAAGATCCTGTGGAAGACTGTCAGAGGTACCATTACTTTCAGTTATCTCCAAAATCTAATCATTTTTCTTTTCATATAGCAAAACATGACTAGATGTTCAACATACATAGTTGTGTATCATGTACACATGTTAAAAGTTTCTTTCACCAATCCAAATTTTTCACATGCTAATGATTACCTATATCTACATTATTTGATGTTTATGATGTAAAAAAAAACTATGAAGCTGTTCTAACAAAAATCTCTTAAAATTGTTTAAAAGTTCAATGCTAATGTAGTATTTTCATTTTATAGGCATGATCCCACACAAAACTGAGCGCGGAAAGAGCGCATTGAGGAGGCTTCGCGCGTACGACGGTTGCCCACCACCATATGACAACCGCCGTCGTGTTGTTGTACCTGCCGCTCTCCGTGTCTTCTGCTTGAAGCCTGGCCGTAAGGTATGTCTATCTACTGCTACCATTGATTATTGACTTCTATTTTTAATAAACTAAACTAAGTTGTAAATAATTTTAAAATCAACATGAAAAAGATTACAATGATGTTTCATTTGGGTAATTTGCGACTGAATAATAACCATGTTGCAATTTTTTAATATTCTGAGAGATAATATGTCAAACTTTACATTCGCTTATAAAATCATGCAGTAGCTAATTTCATGTAATATTTTTGTAGTACTGTCACGTCGGCCGCCTGTCTCACGAAGTAGGCTGGAAGTACCGCGATGTCGTCCGCAAGCTGGAGAACAAGAGGAAGGTCAAGTCAGTCAAACTTATGGCCTACGAGAAGAAGTTGAAGGTTTGTTTTCAATATTATAAGATTTGCTTAGTGAGGAAAAGATATGTTACCTATTTTTACATTATTCTACATGATGATTACATTCTTACCTACATTATTTGAGTCCAAATGAAAAGAACCCTTTACTGAGCACCAAATTAAAGACCAATAAGTATTAGTTTACCTTGTAGAGATATCTAATTTAATGTTTTGTCTATACAGAGAATCACCAAGGAATCCGGCGAGAAGGTTGCGAAGACGACAGCACCATTCACCGCAGTGATCCAATCCTATGGATACAATTAGGATTAAGACATAAATATAAAAACCTTTGGTTGCCCAAAATTGTATTTTTATTATGATCCAATCAACCTCAAATATCACGACAAACATGCGTTTAAACAGTACACTTATTACTTAAGTTCCAAGCAATACTAATTACATACTTGTCTATCATCCTTCCTGTAAAAATTATATTAGCGCAAAAAGCATTTTTATGCACTCCACATTGTTGGCTACGCTTTTGGATGCTCTTCTCGAGTTCTACAGGTGCACTGCCTTTGGCTAGGTAGGTCTGGGCTTGATGCCACTGATGATAGGTAGTATACAGTAATAATAGTACCTATTTATTAAATTAGATATTATTTTTATTATATACTAGCGACCCACCCTTGCTTCGCAAGGGTCTCAAAATATCTCGCTCATGACGAAAGCACAGAACAGAAAATTAAGGACGAAAGAGTTCCCAGCTCTTCCCTCTACTTTTCTGATATATTCCTCCTTACTATTACAAACAAAAAACTCATACACACTTATGTATTTAGGTACCTACTCGAAGATTTGTTCTTGCCCACCAATTAGGACAAGAATATTTTTTTCCAATAGCACCATTGATTTCCCATCTTCGTATATGGGAGGACCTTGCTGCTGCACGTATAGGTACCTAGGTCGGCTCGACCCGAAATGATACGACTGCCTCACAGAAAATTGGCGTGAACCAACCACCGGTTTGTAGGAAGTTAGGAACTTGGCGGTGTGTGAAGTTAGCGGAGGCCTAATCCTTCCCCGTCCCCAAACCCTCACTAAATCTTCGAAACGCTGCCAATGTGGGCGGCGCCGATTGCTTACCATCACGTAAACCGTCTGGTCGTTTGCCGTCTTTTCACATAAAAAATGCCTGTTATTCCCACAAGGAAAATCAGTGTTTGATCCGATTTTCGATACGAGGGAGGGTGAACCTCTGATATGTCTCAGCCATTGGGCCACCCAGTCAAACTATTTTCATGTATTCGCCAAATAGTTATTGAAATTTTATAAACATATCTATTCCAGGTCAGGGTCCTTTCAAAACTGGACCTATGTTTGAACATGACCGTGGGTTGGTTAACCTACAGTATGAGATTACGTTTAGGTTTTGAAGACCCTTCACTAGTAACACGAAATGTATACTTTCGTCTGCGCCGAATAGGTACTTGTCCCAAGCTGCCGACCGCTTTCAGCTAGGTTATAAAATGAGTGAATGGCGTCAATTTTTGTCACAAGTTCTTTCAATGATTTTGCTATGATCCTAATGTTGTTGATCAACTGAATAAGTGATGTAGGTACCTTCTCCCCGTTGACATTGATGGCAGCTCCTTACTGGACTAAGGAGTTGAAGTTGTGTAAGCGTAAACAGGTTGAAAGACACCTCTTTGCCTTACACCCCGCTGTTTACCTGTATCTTATTATCTATCTTGCTTTGCTCCTGTATTGGAAGTCTCGATTGAACTAGGGGTCTTTTAATAAGTAGTGTTGAAATGCCATTCTTTCATTGCCAAACCCAGTCAGCTGGCGGAAAACGAGTTTGGAACTACGATTATAATATTTTGCTGTTTGACCTAGGTAACAGGAGGCCCAATTCTCTTCTCCCCCGTCCCTAATTCTAAAAACACGTTAATCTGTTTGTTGCTTCTATAGGCGGCACTAATTGATCACCGTCAGGTCTTACTTAATCCGGCATATTATAAAATAATCTACCTACGTTTGTCGATTATGATTACCTACTGTACTTAATGGGTATAATATCTACACCTCGGTGTTTTGTATAGCTTACCACACCATATAATAATAATAGGTAGGTAATATAATAATTAAATTATTAACCTATACGTGTGGGAGAGCCATGCTTCGACACGAATGGGCCGGCTCGACCGGAGTGATACCACGGCCTCACAGAAGACCGGCGTGAAACAACCACAGCGTTGTGTTTCGCCGTGTGTGTTAGGTTACTGGAGGCCCAATCCTTCCCTGCCCCCAATCTCTCCTCAATCCCTAAATCGCCAAATAACTTATCCCTAAAAGGTCGACAACGCACTCGTAACTCCTCCGTTGCGGGTGTCCATGGGCGGCGCTGATTGCTTACCATCAGGTAATCCGTCTGCTCGTTTGCCGACCAATTACATAAAAAATACCAATATATAATTTAATTTTTACCTTATAATAAATAATTTTGTTTGTTCTTTCCTTTTTCGGGACTACAGAGTCTCGGACCTTTGGAAGGCATACGAGGAGCCAAAGCCAACTCGCAGAGGCCCGTTAAACAATTTAAATGTGATTGGGACATGAGCCGGCAATAATTATCCCTGTCTACTGCACTATAAAATGCACCCAAGGATAATCCCCGGTGCCTGCGGTCGGCGAGTAAGGGCAGCTCGCCGCCCGACCAGAACCAGGCCCGAGCGTACGGCGCGTAGCGTTCCGCGCGCGCCTCAAAGAGCCAATAGACCACCACAGACGGGGCCCTAAAGGGCTGATGTTCAGCCGGGATTGCGGGGTAAGCGCAATGAGGTACCGCGACCTCGGCACAGAGCAGGAGAAGGAACAGGGGGGTTTTTAGTCAGTAAGAGTCTGACACTCCCTCCTGCCCGGCCCTGGGCGGGAGAAGTCATTTGATGATTTTCCCCTCACAAAAAAAAAAAAAAAAAAAAAAAAAAAAAAAAAAAAAAAAAAAAAAAAAAAAAAAAGGATAATCCCCGGTTGATGCAGGACTATTGTGCAAAATGGTAAAAGATTGGAGGTTGGCTATGGACTACAAGATGATAACTATAGAAATACCTGCCACTGCCCCTGACCAATATTGTTACATACGGATAAACAGGCAGGGGTGACTGGCAAACTCAATTTATGGATGGGCCCCCGGAAACGGCCGCATGTAGCAATTAATACCTAATATAATAATTAAATTATTTGGAGTTACAATTATGTGTATAAATTACAGTTTGGGTGTACCAAACTGTGGTGTACGACAGTACAAAGGCGAGTACCTTTAGCGCTCGTTTTTAAATATCATACAATATTTATATCATGTCGGAACAAAACGGGACTTAGAAATTAAGTTACATGGTAGATGTAGGTCTGTACTATAGAGAACAAAGCTTTCCGAACGGCTTGCTCGAATAGAGTTTACAGTTAGCTCATATAGAGTTACTTATAGTTATATTAATATTCATACTTTAGAAAGGGTTTTTGTAATATTGACTTTAATGTAAGGGGAAAATCATCAAATGGGTTCTCCCGCTCAGGGTGGTGCAGGAGGGACTGTCAGACTCTTACTGACTTAAAGTATCCCCGTTCCTTCATAATGCTCTAGGCCGAGGCCGCGGTGTCTCATTGCGCTTGCCCGGCAACCCCAGCTGAACACCAGCCCTATAAAACCCCGTCTGTGGTGGTCTACTGGCTCGTTGAAGCGTACGCCCGTGTCAGGTTCTGGTCGGGCTGCGAGCTGGGCGCCATCCACAGACCCGCGTTAACGGTGGCCGGAGTCGGAGATCATCTCTCGATCTCCGACGCCTGGAGTGTCGCATACTACAGCGGCTGCGGCGTGAGGAGGATAGTTCCCTCACGCTCAGATCTGACTTCAAGAGAAATATAGCTGCATCATGCTGCCTCATAATGTGGGTTGAAATTTTATGTATTCGTAGATAAGGAGCAAACTTAAGTCGGGGAGGTGGAACTAGCGGAAATATACCTATTATGAATTGCTCTGGGTGCAGTGGGTGCTCAGATGCACCTTTCCTAATGTAATCCCCCTTTCAACAAATTGATTACCAAACGAAAAAGGCCTACCTACCTACCAGCCTATCAAGGGCAGCAGCAGGCAAATGCACCGTCTGTCAGGAAAGGAATTAATAAAATAAACTAAAAATGTTTTTTTTAGGTTGTAACGGTACCTACCTATCCAAACTTCAGCTTAACCTTTCAATCGTGGTAATTTGAGACATAATAAAAGAACAATAGCCTCCTTCTATTCTAAATTATAGTTCCTACCTACATATTCTGTAACAATAGGTGCGCGTTCGCTTGGGGTTTGATGAATTAAAAGCCTCAAAGTCACAGCGTTTGATCTAATTATTCAAAAGACTTAACCAAACAATAGGTATAGGTAGATGTAGGTATCTATCTACCAACCTTCTTACAACAAATCATGTTCAGTGAAACTAGGTAACCTAACTACTGAGATGTGGTAAGTAGATAGGTACGCAATTATAAGTAAGACAATACGTACGCCAACGCTGGCGTTCGCTTGGAGTTTGGTGAATTAAACACTTAAGTAGGTACCTACCTTTCTAGATAGAAAAAATAGGATATTTTAAGAAATAGAAAGAAAGAAAAATAATTTATTTGGCATGAAAAAAACAAAGATATGTACAATAATTACAATAAAAAAAAAGGTAAACAACAAACTAAAACAACAATGTTAGCTTAGGAACTAAAATAAATATATAAAATGTTTCAAAAATATATTTTTTTAATGAGTAGATAATTAGTCACTTTCTTAAGGTGGCTAGGGCTAGAAATTTGGCGCAGCAAAATAATATTAGGTATAAAAAACATGTCCTTTGTAGTTTAAACATAGGTATAACGATACAGAAATAACCCTTTCTGTATTGACGTCATGGGAAATCAATTTATGGATCCCATTTATTGCTCCAGCGGATTCGATCAGATAATTGTTTAACGCGCAGGGACAAATTTTCTTGTGCAGCTGTGTCCTGCGATAATGCGCGCTGCTCGTGATTTTAGAAATCTGAACAGTGTTGATACTTTTAACTTTTATAAAAACTACGGTAATAAGGTAAAGGAACATAAACATGGCTTATGGTATACTTATAGTTTAATGTCATTTGTGATGACCAAATCAGTAATCTTGATATTTTTTAATTTAAAAAAATACGTACCTAACTACCTTTCTTCATAATTATACAACCCTTGATTGCTCGTCAGTCAGGCTCGCGACAACTCGTCCAACGAAACATTCATAGTCGTAAAAAAACTAAGGATCACGCAGATAGTTCGTAACGAGACTCGTAGGTATTTAGATACTCGTAGCGCGGTGCAGCTGTGAGTACCTACCTAGGTACTTCTTAATAGATCAAATTCGCATTAAAAACTAATAGCACTCCATGCATACATGCATTGTCTTTATCTTTGTAGGTATTGGACACATCAATATTTATACGTTAAGTGGGTACTTTTGTAAAATACTGCAGGGTTTAATTATAATGTGCGATGTTAGTAAGTAGCTATTATAATCCAAGAAAATCTTCGCTTCGTCTAGTAGTCGTACTAGTAGTCTAGTAAGAAGTCTAGGATCTAAACTGGATAATCCTCATTGAAATCGAATGGTGTGTGGGAAGCTGAAAATTGAATGCGTTCTAGCGCCTAATAAGCATTGAATTGATAGTCTTCGAAGCCGTATATAAGCTGCCTCCAGCGCTTCAAAATTCAGTTCGGAAGCGTCCGCCGTCGGTACACTTCCAACCATTTCATCGCGAACGGAAGAAAAATACACCACACAGTACACAGTTACTATGAATAACTGGCGTTTACTACTACTTGCGATAGTCGCGGTTTTTCAACCTATTGTATCTTTTACCGATCGTAACCTCATTGATGGAAGGCAGGAGTGTTGCGATCGTCTTTCACCGGATCTGCTTCGAGCCACGAGATCGTCGTTTGATGGAACATTCCGGCTCACCAAAACTTCTTCTGTCCTAAAGCGTCTGAACGATCACGAGGAGAATCCTAAAGATCGACGGTATGATCTAAGACAACGAGACTCCAGTCGTTCTTTGACAGAAAGACCACTAGTAGAAAACAGAGTAAGAGGTCGCAGACCTCAAACGCTTCTAGAAGGTCGTGAGAATTTCTTTAGTCGCGAACAGCTTCTAGATGTACAACGGCAAGCAACCGTTAGATCTGCTCGAGGCCTGAATCCTCACGATCTAACACGGAGAGTTGTGTTGCGCACATCTAGGAATGCCGTAGAACGCCGAGATGAGAGAATCTACACAGAATCAACACATGACAGGATATTTAGAGATAATCGCCAAACTGAACGCCAGTTCGAACAACGAGAAACACAAAGAGAACAGTTCAGATACGAAGATCGTGGACTTACTCAGAATAACGATGTAGGACGTGCTGTCAGTCAAACAAGATCTGTAGTTAGAATAAAACCTAAAAGCAGTATGACTAATCGACGTGTTACAAGGGAAAGGCTGAGTGTGGTCCGAAGTGAAGATTTACAACAGAAATTTGAGGAACGCCAAAGCTTCCGTGAACTGCAGGAGGATCCCAGGTCAGCCCGATCTGCCGAAGAAGGACAACGACATGCTCGTGAAACGAGGGGTGAGCTTAAACTGAGTCCATCTGTTGCTACAGAACGAAGGTCTACTACCGAAGAACAACGAAATACCCGCCAAGTCAGGCAACTTTCTGATGAACACAGAAATTTCCGCAATACGAGAGTTGAACTTAGATTAAGCCGATCTCATGACGTAGAACGTAGGAATTCTCGCAAAATGAGGGAAAAATCTAGGTTAAGCCGATCTGCTGATGAAGAACGTCGAAACTTCCGAAATGTCAGAGCCAGACTGAGGTTAAGCCAATTTACTAAGGAAGAACGCAGACATGCTCGCGGAAATCAGGATGAAACTCGAACCGGGATTGATGATCGCCGAAATTTTAGTGAAATGAGAGATGAAAATAGACTAAGTCCAACAACTTTCGCAGATAGTCGAAATGTCCGCGAAATGCGGATAAGAATAAGCCAAACTGCTACAGCACAACTCCGAAATACCCGGCAAACTACTGATGAAGAACGCCGAAACTTCCGTGATGTAAGAGCTAGCTTGAGGCTAAGTAGAACTGCTGACACAGAACGCCGACATTCCAACGAAATGAGAGACGAGTCTAGGTTCGGCCGATCTGCTGCTGTAGAACGCCGAAATACCCGGGAAAATAGGGAAACTACTGATGAAGAACGCCGAAACTTCCGTGATGTAAGAGCTGGCATAAGGTTAAGTAGATCGGCTGGTGAAGAAAGCAAACACTCCCGTGAAAGCAGAGATGAATCTAGGTCCAGTCGATTTGGTCCTGTAGAACGCCGAAATACCCGTGAAATTAGGAAAACTACTGATGAAGAACGCCGAAACGTCCGTGATGTAAAAGCTGGCTTGAGGCTAAGTAGATCTGCTGACACAGAACGTCGACATTCCAACGAAATGAGAGATGACTCTAGGTCCGGCCGATCTGCTGCTGTAGAACGCCGAAATACCCGTGAAATTAGGGAAACTACTGATGAAGAACGCCGAAACTTCCGCGATGTAAGGGCTGGCTTGAGGCTAAGTAGATCTGCTGACACAGAACGCCTACATTCCAACGAAATGAGAGACGACTCTAGGTCCGGCCAATCTGCTGCTGTAGAACGCCGAAATACCCGTGAAATTAGGGAAACAACTGATGAAGAACGCCGAAACGTCCGTGATGTAAAAGCTGGCTTGAGGCTAAGTAGATCTGCTGACACAGAACGTCGACATTCCAACGAAATGAGAGACGAGTCTAGGTCAGGCCGATCTGCTGCTGTAGAACGCCGTAATACCCGTGAAATTAGAGAAATAACTGATGAAGAACGCCGAAACTTCCGTGATGTAAGAGCTGGCGTAAGGTTCAGTAGGTCTGCTGGTGAACTAAGCCGACATTCCAACGAAAAGAGAGACGAGTCTAGGTCCGGCCGATCTGCTGCTGTAGAACGCCGAAATACCCGGGAAATTAGGGAAACTACTGATGAAGAACGCCGAAACTTCCGTGATGTAAAAGCTGGCGTAAGGTTAAGTAGATCTGCTGGTGAAGAAAGCCGACACTCCCGCGAAAGCAGAGATGAATCAAGGTCCAGTAGGTCTGCTGCTGTAGAACGCCGAAATACCCGGGAAATTAGGGAAACAACTGATGAAGAACGCCGAAACTTCCGTGATGTAAAAGCTGGCGTAAGGTTAAGTAGATCTGCTGGTGAAGAAAGCAGACACTCCCGCGAAAGCAGAGATGAATCAAGGTCCGGTAGGTCAGCTCCTGTAGAACGCCGAAGTACCCGAGCAATTAGGGAAACTACTGATGAAGAACGCCGAAACTTCCGTGATGTAAGAGCTGGGTTGAGGCTAAGTAGATCTGCTGACACAGAACGCCGACATTCCAACGAAATGAGAGACGACTCTAGGTCCGGCCAATCTGCTGCTGTAGAACGCCGAAATATTCAGGCAATTAGGGAAACTACTGATGAAGAACGCCGAAACTTCCGTGATGTAAGGTTCAGTAGATTTGCTGACACAGAACGCCGATATTCCAACGAAATGAGAGACGACCTTAGGTCCAGCCGATCTGTTGCTGCAGAACGCCGAAATACCCGGGAAATTAGGGAAACTACTGATGAAGAACGCCGAAACTTCCGTGATGTAAGAGCTGGCGTAAGGTTGAGTAGATCTGCTGGTGAAGAAAGCAGACACTCCCGTGAAAACAGAGATGAATCTAGGTCCAGTAGGCCTGCTCCTGTAGAACGCCGAAATACCCGAGCAATTAGGGAAACTACTGATGAAGAACGACGAAACTTCCGTGATGTAAGAGCTGGGTTGAGACTAAGTAGATCTGCTGACACAGAACGCCGACATTCCAACGAAATGAGAGACGAGTCTAGGTCCGGCCGATCTGTTGCTGCAGAACGCCGAAATACCCGGGAAATTAGGGAAACAACTGATGAAGAACGCCGAAACTTCCGTGATGTAAGAGCTGGCGTAAGGTTAAGTAGATCTGCTGGTGAAGAAAGCAGACACTCCCGCGAAAGCAGAGATGAATCAAGGTCCAGTAGGTCTGCTCCTGTAGAACGCCGAAGTACCCGAGCAATTAGGGAAACTACTCATGAAGAACGCCGAAACTTCCGTGATGTAAGAGCTGGGTTGAGGCTAAATAGATCTGCTGACACAGAACGCCGACATTCCAACGAAATAAGAGACGACTCTAAGTCCAACCGATCTGTTGCTGCAGAACGCCGAAATATTCGGGAAATTAGGGAAACTACTGATGAAGAACGCCGAAACTTCCGAGAAATAAGGGATGAAACTAGGACAAGTCGAATGTTCCGTGAAGTAAGAAATGAATCCAGACGAAGCCAGCAATCTACTGATTTAGAGCGCCGTAGCAAAGTACACCACGACAGACTAGAACTTAACAGGAAAAATAAAAACAACGAACGAGAGCCTGTTGAAGCTCGTTCGCAAAATGTACTTTACTCCAGAAATCAAGAATCTTCTATGATAGTAAATAAAATTAAATCAGAAAAATATTTTGCCACAGCTAACTGGCAATATGTTCTGTACACATTGCAAGCTGCCTATTTGTGCGCACTATTCCTGCAGTTGCTGAAACCAAGCCACACACAAAAGTCACACACCAGGTAAATATGGTAGATTAAATACAAAATCGTGTTCAGACTAAAATTCCGCTGACTTAATAATAACTAACAATGTTCGCTTTTTTGCAGGAGTTTCTGTTGGATGCCAGTATCTTCTCACTACAACCCCATCAAAGTGGACTAAACGGCGAGCCTACATTGACACTTCTCTATATACCTAATGTTTTGAACTTGTAGAATATATTCAATGTTATTTCGATCTCTTATTCTAATGTATTCATAGAAAATAAATTATCATGTGTTAAACTGGTGGTTGTTTACTTATCTTATATACTTATTAGCCTACCCTTGAGACACTTTAGATAACTGGAGTATACAAATTGATTTTTGTATAAACATTATCTAACCAAATGGCATTAATAAATAAAACACTCACATAATAAATCTGATTGCATTTATTCTTATTTCACATATTTATTCTATTTTCAAGCTTATACATCTACAGATCTAGAGTATCGGTTTTCTTCTTATGCTGTCCTTCATAAAAAGCCTTTGAAATCATTCTCTTCATTTCATCATCCCCAGTCTCATACCTAAAAAAAAAAACAATAACTTAAGACTCATATCCAATTAATATATTATGTTTTTTTGTTGCCATTGTGGTATCATCGCTAATTAAATGCTGATATTATCTTATCTCAGCAACACTATTTCTATTATACATTTTATTTATATGATGCTAGCTGTCCCGGCAAACTTCGTATTGCCTGAAATATGACTAATGTTCTGACCTTTTAAACCTTCCCTAGACCTCAACGAACATTATAATACCAATAATATCCAAAACGAACCAGCCGTTCTCGAGTTTTAGCGAGACTAACGAACAGCAATTAATTTTTATGTATAAGATTACAGCACATGAGCGAATGGATCTCCTGATGTTAAGCCATCTGCACCACCCATGGAAACTCAGAACATAAGAGTTACATTGTTCCTAAGAGCATTGCAACATTCAAGGATATGAGTATTTGGCATGGAATAATTCCAAATACTCATGCCTTTATGCATTATTATGCCTGCCTATTATATTATCCTCTGGTTATCACACAATGAAATAAAAAATTAGCATTGTTTCCAGCCAGCCAGCCTTTTTGTGCAACTTCATGAATTTACGATTTACAAAATAATTGTTTTACTACCATAATTCTACAGCTAATGCCTCCAAAAACATTGTGTGCAACAAGTGATCAATAGAACTAAAGCATATTGACAAATGCAGCATAGCATATAGCTACCAATAGGTTGAGGGGTCCTGATAGCAAATCATGCAGATAACAAGTAGGTGGATGCCTAATATAAAATGATTAACACATGTTACAGACATTTTGCTTGAATATATCAATAAAATGTAACTTACATGTTTTTCATAAGGCTCATAATAGATTCCTGTGGATCCGTTTTGTCCATATCAGGAGTTGCAGGTTTAAGTTTACTGTTGCGCTGGTCTTCGAACTTCTTCTCAAGCTCTGTCATGTGGGACCACTTGATATTGGGGCGTGCCTTAGCTAGGAATATTACTACCATATCTGCAAAAAAGTTTATTTTGATAAATATTACTTCCTGGTTAGATTGTATCCAATACAATATAATCAATGGTAGAATTAGAAAGACAATACAAAATTAGTTTGTAATAATTACATGGAAAACAGTTTAAAAGTAGGCAAAATTATTTATTTGCTAGTAATCTGTAAACCTAATAATCAAAGTAAAGTACACACTGTACAGGAAATGTTCACATCTGAGTAAAGAATATAGAAAAAATTATAATTGCGACTACATACCTGTTTTCTGTTTCCAATGGCTCTCTTCAACATTAATGGATTCCAATAGTTTGTTGATAACAAGAAGGTAGTCTTTGTTATCCAAGTTTTGCACATGTAGTTCCATGGATTTATCTGTTAGCTTACAGAAAACTTGCTCCTTGGGCAAAGATTGGACATCCTTTAGCGTAACAAAAACTTTTATGTATTTATCAGACTGATCCCAACCTGGAAAAGTAAGGTTTTAAATATTTTGTATTTATTTTGACATAGGTAATGCAGCAAACTTACTTAATATGATGGAGGCATTCAACAATTTACGCTACTTTTCTTCAGAAATGAAGAAATTGCGATTTATTACGATGTGGAAGTATTCTAATTAAAATTCAGCTTACCCACAAGTTGTTGAATGTTTTAATTATAGTTAGTTAATAAATTTAATTATAACTTCGGATTGCATTCTCATTCGCATTGATTTTAGAGGACAAGAAATAAATTATTAAATAAGTTATAGAAAAAAAAAAATACTTACCATATCCATTCAGTTTAATTTGATATCTTTTCGGTTGTGAAGCGGCTGCGGTGGACGGTGCCGGTGAGGTTCCATCTTGCAAAGATTGTGCACTTTCCTTCAGATTTAGCCATTCTGTTTCCAATTTCCTAATTTCTAGTGACAATAAGTCTTGAGCCCTCTTTCTTTTCGCCTGTTTTAGTAGCTCGTTCAACTCATCGATGTCACTGCGTAACTATAAATATTTTAACAAAAAATCAAAACAACTTAGGTTATAAATACAAATATACTCTTCTAGCATTAATTTCAACTTATTACAAACCTCTTTCATTTTAGCTTCAGACATTTTTGTGGCTATATTTTATTTTAAGCGATTATGTAGGTTATTGACTTATTTATATTGAATACTCGCAATTATTGCAATGCAATTATGCACAGTTAAGGCTAAATATCTCTTGAAAAGAATTATCAAATAATGTTTGAATTTGACTCGCGACCAATAAAATTGAAATGAAAACACACTTTTTGACGATGAATGATTCAGAAAATCGAATCGTTCTAGAATGTGAACGAAGTTGAACGAAACGAACTAGAACTATTGGGGCATTTTAGGGTTAACAAAGTTGCCAGCCCAAAAAATATACAGATTCTTTAGATTTTTGAATTTTCTTTTGTTACCAGTGCGAGTTTCTTGCGATACGAGATAGTTTTTTTACATTGATCGGGTTTGTACGCATAACCCGACGACGGTAAGTAAATGCGTTACCAGCCTCCTGTGGGTTGTTTGAGATTTGAAGATGTTCTACTACAAGTACAACGCAAGTGTCGTAGAAAATCCCCCATATTCTTTATGTGATAGGACGGCGAACGAGCGTATGGAGTAATCCACATGCTACACGACGGTTTTCTGTGAGGCCAGAAATCCGTCAGCCGTCGCTCCGTCAGGACAAGTCGACCCATTCGGACCGAAGCATGGCTCTCTCACACTTAAAATTATTCTATGGAGGCCGGTAAATCACTCCGCACTCCGATTAAGCAGATCCATTCATGCCGCAAGGCTCTCCCTCACAGGTTAGCGCTTAGAATTGCATCCACATCTATGCAATATCGTAGATACGATACATGCTAATTGCTATTCATACGAAGAACAGGAACAACTGCATAACGTTTTCCTCATAGGCTCAATGGGTGTGTGTGTGATCGCCAGTGCCCCATCGACGGGATGGCCTACCCAAATTCTCAGTTACGGCGTACCTATAGAGTTTTCAGAACAATTGGAATTTCCGGAAATAAAATCCCTAGGGCACAAGCATTTTTTACTGGGACCCAACTTCCCTTACAAAATGGGCATTCTCCTTTAGAAATTGCAGCATTTTAAGAATCCTTTAAATTATTGGGGAGACGGCGCGCACGTTCTTATATATATTAATTGCTGTTCTTTACTAGTCTCGCTTTCACTCGAGAAATGCTGAACCGATTTGGCGATTATTGTAATGTCAGAAAACTTTAATTTTTAGGCGGTACCGAGTTCGCTGGGTCAGCTAGTTGTTTATACCTAGTCTAGCCATAAATACTGTAACAAATAATTTTTTTTTTTCTATTGCAAATAACATTTTAAAGCTTATTCGAAGTAGTCTCCATTGGCTGCAATACAGTCCTTTAAACGTTGAAGCCAGTTATCAATAGAAGCACGCACTCTTTCCATGGGAAAATTCTTCACTGCCAATCGTATGGATTCCAGAGTCCAAATTATCATGACGTTTAGAGCAAGCCCTACTCTCTAAAACTGGCCATAAATCATAATCTAGCGGATTAAGATCGGGACTAGACGACGGCCAGTCTTCAGCTTTGATGAAGTCGGAAACGTTCGTTTCCAACCAAGACTGCGTGGACCGAGCTTTATGACCCGGCGCCGAGTCTTGCTGGAAGGACCATTGTTGGTTATTGAACACGGTGTTGTTAAGGGGCTTAACTACCTTCTCAAGATTGGTATTTTGATACACTTGTGCCGATGTTTTGATACCTTTTTCGCAAAAGTATGGCTCAGTCACTCCTTCATAGCTAACACCCCACCAAACCATCACTGAAGTCGGATAATGCCCACGTTGCACTCTGTCGACTAATTGAGAAGCTTCCTTAGAGCTTTGAGCATAAAAACGGTCATTTTGTTTGTTAAAATGTTGCTCAATTGTAAAAAAATTCTCATCCGTAAACAAAATTTTTCTGTGACCTCCCTTTGCGTACCGCTTCAGTAGTTGTTTAGATTTTATCACCCTATTCTTTTTATAATTATTATTTAAAAAATGTCTAGTTCGTCTCTTATAGGCTGCAAGTCCTAAGTCGTCTTTTAAAATACGCGACATGGTTCTAGGTGCTATCTTCATCTCCCGAGATAAAATCTTTTGCTTTCGGACAGGATTTCCTCGAATTCTTTGCCTTACTGATTTGGCCACCTTTTTCGTACGAACTCTACGTGGACGGCCAGATCTTTTTCTGTCACAAACAGAGGAGGTCTCATTGTACCTATTAATATCCCGGTACACAAACATTTGACTAATGCCAAGCATGTGGAGAGTTTTAAAAATTGCATTTGGCTCCATACCCACTTTGTGTAATGCTATCACAGCGATTCGGTTCTCTTTATCACTCCACTCCATTTTAATATCGCAAAATATTGAACAATTTATTGGCGCTAAAATAAGAAAACACAATGAAAAATTATATAAAAATGACAGATTCCAAATTCAAATGTAATATTTTGTTTAAATTTTTAATTGTAACAGTATTTATGGCCTGACTATGTATATTTCTTAGCGCTGTACGAATAACTCACGACTCGCCACGTCTCAGTTTTGCATGGCAATATATAGTTAAAGCGCTTGAGATTTGAACTCCGGTTATGAGATAGCGTAGCCGTGATCTATAAAAATCCGCCGACTCCAAATAAACATTACATGTTCAGTGACTGAGTATCTTGGTATGTATTGAAATATTTTTTGAATAAACACAATGTTGATCATGGAATTATTTATTCAGTAATTAGGTATACAGGTAGATTAATGGCATTAAAGGCCAAAATTAATAGCCAATCTCAATCCTCAACTTGTTGACTAAGGTCGATTTTGACATTTTAGTGTTCCAATTAAAAACAGAGATTGATTCAAGAATTTTGGATTAGGGTCGGTTATAAATTTTGGCCGTAAGACGATAAGAGATTAAGCATAAAGCAATAACATCGTCGTAGAGAATTCAGTTCTTTCGGTGGGCGCGGTTACGGCGCATTGCGCCCTGGCATTGTGGGCAGTACCATTTGCCTTTCGGTGGGGCTGTTATGCCCACGCACGGATAGTGGAACCATTCATAGGGACACTGAAATAATTAAATATATTAAAAGTTACATGAATAGAAAAAGTGATGAATAAAAAAAAATGTAATATTTTATTTTATGCTTACATCCTGATTATCGCAAGCAACCATGTCACCATATGACACCTGATTGCAGATACAGTAGCGAGGTTCGTTGGGATCGTACGTCCATTCCTCTTCCATGGGCTCTTCAATAGCAACATTGTTCACGACGTTGTTCATGGCCCTAGAAAAAATATTAAGATACTTAGTGATAATCATTAAATATCTATAAATTGTTTAAAAATGTAAGGTAAGGGGTTGCAGGGCTAGGGCAATAAGGTAGCGGGACCTCGGCCTACAGCAGGCAAGGGAACGGGTCATTTTGCAGTAGGAGTCTGATACTCCCCTCTCGCTTCACTCTGGTCGAGAGATTCAAGTGAGTCATTGGATGATTTTCACCTCACAAAAAAGATGTAGTATTCGTAATACGTACACAACTGTAGGTGAAGATGAACGGCTAGCAGCTGATGCGACGGCCTGTTGACTATGGGCCGACACACCGGCAGAGCTGTAACTGGTGCTTTTCCTATAATAAAAGAGAAAAACCTGTTACAAGGTATGTAAAAACATTAAAAATATCTTTTTGGATTGTCTTAGTACTAAATTTCTGCTAAAATTACAAAAAATAAACTTCGTAGGGAGGGTAAACGTTGTAGGGAGGGTTTTCACATAAAAATGGCTCAACGGCTAGATACAGTACAATACAGATTTATTTTAGTAGTATAAGGGCGTTGGTAATAGAAAAATACACACTTTTGTTTGTTCCGTTTCGTAGAAGATGATGAAGTATTGTGTCCATGAGCAGTAGTGTGATGTCCATGAACACTGTTGTTTTGACTATGGCTTGATGCCATACCATGCCCTGAAAAAGTGAATTTATAGTTACACATAAAAAAAAGTTAATTTTACTAAAAAAACGCACGCATGCACGCATTTCGAAGACAAGTTATGTCAAATATATATATATTCATAAATTAAAATAATTATTTGAACAGGTAATTTTCACCAGCATCCAATTGGATATAATGCAGGCGGGACATTCGGCGTCATAATTTAAAAACAAAATTATTTAGCATGATTGCTACCCAGTCCGATTCTACATATTTTTGCAGCGTGGTCTACCCAGGATTTCATTCGTATATCAAACACCAAATTCACATACACATCACACTTAGACTCGGAGCAATGATGTAGATCATACAAAAAAAAATTCCGTGCGGGATTCGAACCCACGACATGTTACGCAGGGGCTCGAGGTATAGCCATTGCGCCAACCGTGCAGTCAAAACATTTCTGCAACACTCCTAGTAGGAAGTTTGTAATCAGTATTCTACCATGGTCGTGATGTGTGTGGTGTGTCTGCAACGTATGGTGTGCCAGTTCCCCGCCCGCCACTGCCTCATACGAAGCTTTCAGTGAGGCTGTGCGGCGACCGTGCTGCATCTGTAAATATTTTACATTGCAACATGACACGAAACGGCCTAAAGAGTAATAAACTTCTAAAAGAACTCTTCAATTAATGTCTCGTCTATGTCGTGTCATATGTTAAGGGTTTTATAAAAAAATCGGAAAGCTTCAATCATTATTTACATGTTTGGGTCCAGTATGAAAACTGTACTTAAATAGTACACACACTTAAATAGTACAATTTAATAAACTAACCTGTTGAGTGGCTGCTATAGCTTGGCTAGCTGCAGCTGCAATAGCGCTGCCTGCATGACCTAAAGAATAGGAGTCCCTGCCTAAGGCAGCCTGGAAACAAACAACATAATATATTTACAATGTTATACTAGTTATCCGGTCGCACAGTCAAAACCATAATAAATTATAAACATAAGACTTTCTCAAAATAAACAATTATACCAATTTTCAGACTCAATAAAGAAGAAAAAATTGATAATTACAAATCAACCATAATTATTATGTTTAACAACCCAAAGATAAGTGTTAAAATCATATCTACACTTTGGAACGAGCAAATAGCTTTACAACAAACTAACACACACAAAATTTAATTATTTTTTGTTTGACATTCAAAAGTGCCTATAGTGGGTTATTTCAAAAAAAGATTATTTGTGATTTTATACTTTAAGATTTTTCAAATGAAACAATAATACCATACGAAAAATTTTTCTCTTATTTATCCTGTAGAAACACAAGAAGTTATATAGATGAAGGAAAAGAGAAAAATATAAGACCCATGTTATCATTTGGCATTCCGTTGCATCTGCAAGTTTGTTATATGTGTATTGAGTGTTGAAATAAAAAATTTATTGCTAATTACCTGGATAGCTGAATCAGTCCTAGATAAGTTTCCAGATGTATGGCCCCGAGATTCACGATTACCCCAGCTATCACGTCGCTTTTCGGCTCTGATGCGGTATCTGCAATACATACATATCCATTATTACTTTTAGAGTACTTTAGAACTGTAACTAAGGAATAAACCACCAGACTTATGCTAGATAGACTTGCAACCAACAGGGCTGGGTAACTGGCTGCCACGAAACATGTCACAGGTTCAATTCCTGCATGGAACAACTCTTTTTGTGATCCATAAATTGTTGCTCCGGTTCTGATTGTGATGTGTATGTGAAATTGTATATTTATAAACACACCCACAACACAAGAGAAAATCCTAGTATAAGGCATGTGGTTTTTTTTGAACAGTAAAAAAAACCACATGTACCATTCACATAGTATGAAATAATAATAAATCAGTATAGTAAACCATATATTTTTTTAATTTGCACCACATTTGGTATTGTTTGTCCTAGGAATAAAATCTGCTATATAATATACAATGACACCACAAGACTATAACAACATAATCTGAAACTTCATCTAGGTAGTTTACAAATAAATATCATTAGTTTTAATGTTTTTTCTAACTAATATATTTAGGTACGGGTTAGGAAATATGTAAATTACAACAATTAACAAACCTGTTTTCTTTGTAATGGTTGTTATTTGATGTGCTTGTGTGGTTAGTGTTCACATCAAGTTCCAGAGACCGTTTCTCCAATAGCTCAGTGATACCTTTGTTGTCCGCTTCCAATTCACATTTAAACTTATGTAGTTCAGTGTCTGTAAATATTAAATAATAGGTTTTTTCAAACTCTCAAAATTATCAAATATTATGCACTGATGATAAAACTGTAAGATAATTAAGTTGTATTTTCTTACCAAGTCTGCGTAAATATCGGTCGACTAAGTCATACATCTGAGTTGCTAGAGACGTTTTTTCTTCAGCTTCTTCTAGGGTCTTGTTGTATCCACGCTTAATGTCAGAGAATTCAGTATTGGCTTGCTCAGTATTTAACTCCCCGCGTCTGCACCCACTAAAAAGGGTACGGACTCTTTTTTCCAGCGTATCCATGTTATCTAAGTAAAATTTTATTTATTATTATAATAATTTAACAATATTAGGCACCTAAGGAAAACTAGAAATATTACTTACTCTGAACAGACAAATCCATTTCTCTCATTTCAGTAAACCTATCCCTTAGCTCTTGCGGGAGATGTTCAATCACTGTAAAATAACATTAAAGTTTCAAAACACCGAGATAATGATCACGAATAAATTGAATTTTCGCGCTACTCTTTGTAGGCCACGCCACAGGGGTACCAACACCTAAATTGTAAATTACGTCATTGCAGGAGAACAAAGGATATCTTACTTTCCAAATAATCTTCAAGGTACAGCATTTTGGTGAGTTTTAATTACTTTATCTACAAAATTTAACTCAAAATTGGTTAGATCTTTACACAAGTAAAGCACAAAACTAAGTGATCGCGGTTTAATTAATCTACGCATTAATATATTGACGTGTACAACTGTACACCAATAGCGACGTCACCACACCATAGACTATACGATACGCTAGACCGAGTAACCGAAACCGACCGCGTCAAATAATTTTGTTGCACAAGTAGTGATGGGACACTAGACTATTTTAAATTTTTATGTTTTATTTAGTCGGCCTACCTACGAGTTGCTTTTTATTTAAACATATATTTTATTTATTTAAATTCTAATAAGTGGATCAGTACCTTAATTAAATACATTATTTATATAGAATAGTCCCTTTTATAGGCGATTTTAAATTTCTAAATTTAATATTATTTGATTTAAGAAATTGATTTTGGCATATTATAGATTTGCTTATTTTCGGTTTGGTATTCGGTACTTATAGATTTGTAGTAGAAAATATTTAACTTTTCGTAGTTTTGGTCATATATAACAAATTCAAGCTATGTTTAATGAATTATCTATTTATTTTAAACACAATCTTTGCTATTTACACCTTCGCCTCTTTATAGGTAGATGCGCTTAGGAGTAAAACTGTTATATGATATGCTTTACTTAGACATTTATTAACATTTAAGTTACTATTTAATTTTAAAAAAGTATACTTTAGGTTTGAGGGTTTCCAAGAGTCTTTGTCCGCAAACAAACTGTTTAAAACAGTTTTGTGGGCTTTTTTTGTATAATTATAAACCTTCGTTGTAATATTCAAAATGATAATAAGCGTGTTCTTTCTACGTTATTCTACACTGAGGAATGTTTTTTTAACGATTGATAAGACGTTGGCTTCTTTATTGCCTTCCAAGCATCATAATAATTTTGTACTTTTCACTTACCATTATTTTATATCATATTATTATTTAAGGGCTGATTTTTCAACAGTCAGATAAATGTTATCTGAGGAATAAAATTGTTGCTGCCATTGTCTTATACAAATATTCTGAAGTGACAGCATCATGATTATTCCCTAGGTAACTTTTATATTGAGAGATGATCTCCAGCCACCGCGCACCGTAAGCACGGGTCTGCGGATGGCGAGTAAGGGTAGCTCGCCACCCGACCAGAACCAGACCCGAGCGTACGGCGCGTACGGGCCCTATAGGGCTCATTTTCAGCCGGGGTTGCGGGTCAAGCGCAATGAGTCACCGCAGCCTGCCTCGGCCCAGAGTAAGAGAAGGAACGAGGGGGTTTTTAGTAAGTAAGAGTCTGACACTCTCTCTCGCCTTACTTTGGGCGGGAGAAGTCATTTGATGATTTTCCCCTGACAAGAAAAAGGTAACTTTAATCTAACCTTTGAAAAATCAGCCCATAATTGACGGAATATTTGTTTATTACTCGCAAGTCTCTTATTCGTTTAGTATATTTTCTTAAATGATATTCAAGAGATTTTTTTAATGTGATTCGTATTCAAAACTTAAGTAGATTTCTTAAACGATAAATAATACGGTATTTTACAACTAGTCAAATTCAATACTTTTATTCATTTATTATTTATGACATCACACATACAGTAAAAAGAGAACAAATACAGAGACAGACGTACATAGGAACTGTAAATTTATGTATGGAATCTCTTCTTCTTTTATTGATATGTCAAAAAGTAAACTGTGTTCTTGTTTTGAAATTGGTATGGAAAACGAAAATGTGACGTAACCATCTTCACCATACCTATTTCTTAAAATGTAACCAATAAAAATCTAAAATTAAGGGATATACTTCATTTTTTTAAATCATTAATGATTATTTTTTGACTGAAGAAAATACGGATAAAGAATTGTTTACGGATATTCCTTTTTTAAAGTAAAGTTTCCATTTATTATTTTTTAAAATTTTCTATGCTCTCTATCTTCATTCCTTCCTATCTATCTTAAAATGGCTTGAACTAACATAAATGCTTATGTGCAATGTTACGGAACAAGAATCGGTAGCAATTATATCCAACTACGAACATCACTACTGCGAGCGCAATGCTGCCAACCGTATAACTTGAAGCTATGCGTTCATGATCGTACTTATTAGTACATAGTTTTAAAACTGCGTTCAAGATAATTGCAATTATAGCAAGTTTAAAAACCTCATCATTTATATTTTTATATTAATTGTATTAAATAAATTATATGTATTTTTTTTTATTTCAGGAAAAATGATCCGACGACCTTTAACAGAAATCACCTTAAAGTTAGATGATCTTCAAGAATATGAATCTTTCCGGAGAGAGCAAGGAAATAATTCTTCATCAACCACTGAAATGCAGGAAGACACTCCAAAACCGTTAGACGTTGTGAAAACTATAGAAGAAATTCATAACAGAATTGGATATGCTCCTAAGAAAAAACTGAGCGGTCCTAGTACTGTGTAAAATTTATAGCAAAGTAAATAGTTAATTAAGAAATAAAACTTTAATTTGCGGAAAGAATCTTTATTTGTATTTAATCACTTGTAATTTAGTACATCGATATTTTTTCAATATTACATTTAAAACAAGTAGAATTAGGTAGTAAAAGGGACTAAGTTTAAATACTTAGTAACTTAAAAAACTAGTGAATAAACAGCAAAATTGATTGTGCTCTTAAATATAATAAAATGCCACGATGCTCCTTTCCATTAACATGTAAACACCAATAAAAAGTCCGTATCTGTTACCAAATGTATTTTTTTTTTTATTTTTATATTGCCTTATTATTCGTTGTATGGATGAATTACTTTATTTGGGCTCGGTCCAGGGATGTTAGAACTTTTTGCAAAATCAATTCGTCGCTGCTTGTTTCGACGGCGCCAAAGAAGACAGCATAATCTGCAATTTCAATAAAAGAACACGCTTAGAAGAACAATAGGTATTCGGAAGTACAAAAGATCTAGGTTTTTTTGGACCGTTATTCCAATCCGTTGGCAGTGTGCAGATAGCGCAGGCAAAACGAAAAATAAAACGTTTAATATTGCACATTGCACTATTCTTATCTCTCGTCTTTTTGCAGCTCTCAGTATCTTTTTTTTTAATTTGCCTCAACTTGCGTTTACAAACAAATAATTTCACATTCACATCGACTCTTAACTCGGAACACTTCTCTGATTCCGTGCGGGAGTTGGACCCCCGACACGACAGACACTGCGTCAATCATGCAGTCTTTGTTAATTCAGATAGAAAGTAGTTAGCTAAATAGTCTCATGTTCTGCCTTGGTTAAAGGAACTCAGGTGAACCAGTAATCTAATCCGAAAGCCTTTGTTCAAAGGTGTGGCTGCAACTGCCAATGTAGTAACGAACTAAAATACATCATAAAATTATGTTATGCTACTCACCTCAGCGTTAGGAAGTAAACAATTTCTGCGACGCTGAGAATAGAGAAACCCATGAACAGTCCAAGTAAACCACCGCAGTTAGCGAGGAAGTCTGTTTGTCCATACAACTCCGACCGGCGAGATGTGATGAACTGGGCCTCTTTGAAAAACACCATCACACGGGAGTATGTCAAGCTGAAATAGAAATTGGTATTTCTTTATATACATATAAAAGACTAGCTACTCTCGCGCGGTTTCGTGATGTTTTATAGCCTATAGCACTCGGGAACATTGTAGCTATTGATCAGTGAAAGAATTTACAAACTTACAACATACAAATTTTACCTCTATACAATATTATAGTATAAAGTATAAATGTGAACTGCTAGACAGCGCCAGATCTCCGATTGTCAGAAAAGTTTTAAGAAAATTTAATCACAGCCGTTAAAAGAAAACGTACCTACTCACAGGGACATATAGTGGCTATAATTTGCGCGTAAATAAATATTTATATCTAATATTTATTTAGTTACATTATAGAACTAACAATTCGACGCCTAGTTATCGTCGGAATACGGAATTTGAAATTGTTCTTATATTGCATTTTTAAAGGCTTCCGCTAGGGAGTATTTTGGAACCAAAATTATCCAGTTCGGTATAACCTCATATCGAGGTCGAATGATGTAGGTAATTGACGGATAACAATTAATTGTATGCCTTCTACGACCAAACCTGTCTTTGTCAATATTGGTCTATCAATTAAACGTAATTAATAGGCAGGTACACAAACACGTGTGTTTTATTAACATGTATTGTATACCTACTACCACTGTTAGCATTTTACGTCTGTTTAGTTTTAAAACATTTCACCAAGAAGGTATTGACCGGGAGTTTATTTTAGAGAGGTCGTTAACGTTAAATCAGTGGTGTGTGGAACAAAAATTATACCTAACAAGTTTGAAATAAGAATTCGGAATTGTATAACAGAATAAAGTAAAGCGTAAAAAACAATTTGAATTACAGTGCATATTAATTTTATGTTCCGAATATTTAAACAGGCTTTTTTATGTGATGAGACGGAAAACGAGCCGACGACGGTTTTCCTGATGGTAAGCAATCAGCTCCACCCATGGAAGATCTCGCAACAGCGGAGTTACAAGTGCATAGTTGACCTTTTGACGATTAGGAATTTGGAGATTTTCGGATTGGGTAAGGATTGGGCCTCCGGTAACCTCACTCACACGGCGAAACGCAACGCTGTGGTGGTTTAACGCTGGTTTTCTGTTAATGGTTGGTATTACTTTGATCGACTCGACCCATTGGTGCAGAAACATGGCTCTCCCAGGCCTAAAACCTTATAAATTGGTAAATTACAAACTGGCCGAACTAGAGACCTACTAAGTAATTACACTACTACTACTTAGAGAAACGTACAACAGAACTAGTCCATCCTACATGAATTTATTAAAATAATTAAGTAGTTACAAGTATTGTTGAACAATGAAGGTCGATCTGATATTCTATCAAATTGGTATCGGTATTTCCTATATGTAAAGAGGTACTGTCAGGATATGGCGATTTGTGGTTTTGTAGATAAGTAGAGTATTTATTACAAAATATCCTCGCTTCATTTATCGGAATTACACGTTTGGATTACATATACATATTATCAGTTGCCTCAGTTGGTTGGTTGAGGATGCGGAGAGCGAATTGATATGTCGTTAGGTACTTAAATGATTGGGCAAGTCTTCAGACTTCGAACTAATTAAAAAAGGGAACCAAAAACTGCTAATTGGTTGCTCATAGACTGAACAAGAAAGGTTCAGCTCACGAAAAGCTTAATAAAATTTGTAAGCACCTCAATCTGCTCAATGGCGAGTATGCCTGACAGACGCCATTAATACAGAAAAGTGGAGAGATATCGTAAGGGCAGCTACAAAGAACGTTCACGATGAAAGCAAGAATAACATGAACTCAACCGGACTGAAATGTCAAAACCCCTTGAAAATTAAATAAAAGATGTTGCATTGCCTTATAAATGTGCAATTACAATGTTGAATTGCATTGTTCCACAAGTAACTTACTCCTTTAGTTCTTCAGAAACGTTATTCAATTTGTAGGCCCGGAATATGGCTGCCCAATCATAGTCCGCCTGGGACGTCTCAGCCTCGTACTCGATGGATGTACAAGCTGGTAGACACTGACACCTAGATGACACCGCCAGGGCCTCTCCAAGAGAATCGGAATCATTGCCCACCCGGCTGTCGAGGCCTGACTGAATTTCAATTGTCACCAGTTCCACTGAAAAGTTGAAATTTAAAGCTGCGTTAAGAAGTGCTTAACCGAGAAAAGCTACTGATTTCAAGTCATAACGCGACTCTTGTTCATGAGCCGCGTGAGCGTCGAGGCTACTTCGCGCAGCCAGTTGTAGAGCTTTTCTCAGTTAGGTATTTCACGTGAGTAGGTAAGTCATTATTTTCAATACATTTAGCTCTATCAATTATCAAAGTAGGAAGCTACAGGACACAATATAGCTAGGTACTTAATTTGAGAATGTGAAGTAACTAGGTAATTAAACTTTTATGCGAAAATGTGTATCATAAAAACTGCATAGTTAAATATGGTCAAACATGTCATGCAATGCTATGTCTGACGCAACAACTATACACCTACGTACTCACATACTTATGATAGGTACATAGGTACGTGTACGATATTTCAATAATCGTCCTTCAAAGCTTAACTTGGCAAAAACATATTATAAATAGATAGGTAGGTGTGGATGACTTGATGACCCACTTACTCTGAGCTGATTTTATACATTCTCTGCTGCCAGCATTGCACACCTGCATATTCGGCCCATCTGGAATGCGAAGTGCATTTTTACTTCGTATTACGACACACTACGTGGTTACAACTGTTCTGTGAGTAGGTATATGTAATGTAATACAGTTACCTGCTTCCAATGCGGTATTATGTAAGCAATTAAGATAAGTATATTGATTTTAAAATAAGCTTAATGTGATATTTTTTTTGTCCACCTGTTACACACGCTGGATGCTTTGCCATAACTGACTGTTGTGATGCAGTTAGAGCATCGTAACAACTGGATAAGGATCTACTTCGAGTCAGAGATCAGAACAGAAGAATAAGTAGATATTTGCTTGCACGAAGTATGGTAGATACTATAGATAATTCTGTGTGACGTCGCCTACTATTTTCGGCATGCAAAATTATAAGTTGGTAAGAAATGGAATTAACATTTATATTACGAATATAAGGATCTTAACATAGTTTAGTGACTTTAGAAATTTTGCACTTCGTAGTTAGAAACTCATCAAATGTGTATCAACAGGACAGTGGCGTTCAAAGGGTGATCTCGAACCCGGCTACCAGATAAAAGATTTTGACAAAACCTTCTTAATTTTAGGGCATATATACTATTCATGCGTAAGAAAAAGTCCATTAAATTTTAGGCATTGTACTCACAGGGCATTCCAAAATGCACACATCCACACCTTGTGTAGGTAAAGTTCGCTAAACACTCCATCTCACAGTTAGCTTGAGTGTACACCTTGAAGTACTGGAGATAGCGTTCGCTTGGAAAATAACATTGTCGTCTGTGAACAAGAAAAAGCCAACCATTGTTCAAGATTCGAATCTTACTTCATACCTTCAAAGACTGCGGAGTTGCAGCTAATTAGTTGAGAACATTATTTAATAACTTTATGATATTAAGTTTATAGTTTATTGTAGATAGTGAGAAAAAAGAAAAGGTGACACAATTTCAGAATGTCTGTGATTTTTTCGTTATTATTTTTTATAACGTGGCATCTAGTGCAAATGGGTAGACTGATGCGACTGAACTGTGACCGTAGGAGAAAAAATAGTAGGAGGGTAGATACAGGTATTTTCAAAATTTTATCTGCAAATAAATATGTTATACAAAAATGCCATAACGACATTGCCATACTGCAAAAACATATAATGGACATTAGAAACTATCACACTAAAACATGCATATACAGATATCTATGTATCTAAACTCTTTCTCTTTCTCTTTCTCCAATATAACTTTGTCCTGATTATTTTTTCTCCCGTCACGCAGCTTGTCGTTTACAAACAAGATTTTAATATTTCAATTAAGTTTCAAAAACGGAACAATAATTTATGGATCGCATCAATAGTCTACCACACACTTTTCCATGCGGGAGTCGAAACCGCTAGATTTATTAATTAGTTTCTTTAGTTAAATATTTATTAATAGATAGTATAATACGTACCTGGTAGGTTCATAAGGTTTAAGGCCGGAGGAAGTGGTCATCATTTTAGGTTTCACCGCAACGACTACCTCTTGCGATAGAGGTGATCGGAAGTACTGTTGTGAAAGCCTAGGCAGCTCTGCCGGATTGTGCAACAGTATCTACGGACATTACGGAAAATGGTATTTTATTGTGTTTTACTTTAACATATCTACTTACGGAAGGTATCACTTAGTTTTATGTAACAGACAATAGCTGTATTACCTTAAAACCCTGAACAGGTCCTCTGCACAAATAATCCAGATCAACTTTTTTGGCTTTCAGTAGGAAAGTAAGACCTGATTTCACGCCATAACCCTGCAACATGAGAATTTGCCTATACATAACTGTCTGTATTATCCAAGAAGCTAAACACAATACAATACATAGATTATTGTGTATAACATATTCTTGTCAAGCTACAAGTTTAAGAATCTCCTTGATTTCACATTTATTCAAGGATATTTAACTAACTTCAAGCAACAAGTGGGGCTCATAATCATTAATGTCATTCTTATTGTGCCTTTGTTCCTGGTATGTGATTATTGTTGTACTATTAACTACATATATGGTAAAAGAAATACGTCGATATTATGATACTTTAAAGAAATAGTACAATATTAATAACAATAGCTTAATTGTAAAAGAAGCTCATGTTGAATCGTGTGGTGGAAATATGACTAGCATAAATATTGCAACAGTGTCTTGCGATTTGTTATAGCAAACAAGTACTTATAAAATCTAATAATATTAGCATCCACTTACAGCGCCTCTGTGAGGATAAGTTTCTATAGGTGTTCCTGACATGTATCCCTCTTCCAAGCTCCACGATTCGGCTCGTTTATTATGTTCCAAATACGGGTAGTTTTTATGTAAACTAAGGAACAACATAAAAACATTCGTATACAAAAAATTACAATCTTTTGTCTAATAATAATACCATTGTTAATTAATTAAAGAAAACATACTTATCCAGTCTAAACATTTCATCAGGTCCTAATGTGTTGAATGTATAGCAAAGCCCTTCTTCCGTCAGAATGGGAGAAAATAAATCTGAACAGTTTTCACTCGGTATATCTTTCCATTTGCATCCAAAGAAAACTTCAGTCAAGTTTGGTGATACCTGAGAAAGAGGACGTAAGCAGTGAGCACCAATGTAACAAAAATAAACAGAACTTATTGTTGGATCAATTGTACAAACCGATTTAATATTTTCGACGGTGTCGCTTCCAGACGAAAATTTTCGACCATTCGGAGGTGCAAGATGGTCATCACACACCATTGATACATCTTCAAACATATGTTGCCTATAAACAATTACAAAAATATAAATACTCATAAACTATAAAAAACACAAATACCTTTTTAAAAATATTAAGATAGCTTTATTTATTTTTTTAACTTACTCATATACAGAAAGATTTTCTCGTTGATTCAAGTACAGATGATAGTATTCCGTAAAATTAAACTTTCTTTGCATAGCCTTTGTTTCAAAACAGACAGTCACTGCGGGATAAGGTATCTGGAATGTAATAATACAAGACCAAATAATAGTCGATGAAGATGAATGATAAAAACCTTTAAAGCGTGATGAAAGGATTAATCACTTATGAAAAATGGCGCGAAAGTTGAAAAACCACGTTTAAGGATGTCATGTAAAGGACATTATAAATCAACTCACCTGCCATACTGGAGTAGGGTTCTCAGCAAAACTGACGATGACTGGACTTTCGTTCCATTTAATCCAAACTTTTCGAATCAATCCCGCGCAGAGGACAACGCAGCATGTGAACATGAACAGCCAGAAAATTCTGAAATAAATTTAATATTATTTGATACGGTGAATATAAATACCAAGTAAAGGGGCAAGAAAAATAAATTCAACTTACTTTTCCACGTAGGTTCTCTCTTTCTCCCCAATATATCTCAATCCATGGAGATTAGAATTAGCAGTATAATCTACCAAGTAATCTTTGATTATGCTGCTTTTCGCTCTCTTTGTTTTCTCTTGTTTAACTTCATCTTCAACAGTCTCAGGAGTCTTCCCGAAACTTTCTGATCTACAAGCATATTTGTTGTTAGTGATTTATTTAGGACTAGAATATTAATGATTTATTTTAAATTTAGTTTCCCAAGGTGTACCTCGAGTGTCGCCTCATGATGCTCGGCAAAGACTACTACATCAAAATATGGGCACAAAATAAAATGCGTTGTTAATTTGGGCTTGGTATGAGAAAGGCGTCATGGCTGTTAATGTTAACCCAGGGGATACATGCTGACCAATTACGAAATTAAATTTAGTAGAATGCTGACTAATTCGTTACATTTGTTTCATTATTTGTTTTAATGAATATTCAAATCGTAACAAGGTTCGCGCATCACTGCCTTGCTGAGCCCACTTTGCACGTCCATAGATGACTTTGTAATTTTCATTGCAACATGCCATTGGCAGCCCTACCCCGTTTCACTTGGGAGTTTTATAAAATAACAGTAGGGAATGCGAATGGCATTAAAACCTAGAATTACTCTAGGACAAATACTTGGCGTGAACTTTTAAACTTATTAAGTGATTATTTTTAATGATTAAGTTTGATGGTAATACAAACTTATCATAGGGATATTTAAGTTTTGTTGAAGTTGAGTGATGTTAACAGAATAAAATTAGTTTATTTTAGAGTTTATCCCTAAAATTGCTATAACGCAAGATTTAGCTAATATGCATTAGTTACAAATGTAGTAGTAGGCTATGTCGGTACTTATAAGTTCATAATGTAGTTTAGTAGTTTTAGAGAAGTCATGGCGGGTTACTTCAGCCGGCGTTTTGGGTGCACCAATGTACCACGGCCTCTACTCGGCGCAGGAGAGGGAGCGGGATGGATTTTGGTTTCCAGAGTCTGACAAATGTCTGTCGCTCTACACAGGGCGGGAATAGAGATTTGCTATTTTTCTCCCGTCACAAAACTAGGTGATTTCGTGAAAAAAATACTATAATGTAGGTACCTACATAGGTGTATTGTATAGGTAGTATTTTTTTCTCTAATTTGGCTGAATTTATGTGGTTGACGTTTATGGTGGGTAGGTGCCACAGAGGTGCGATGGTATATTTTTACCACCTAGGCAGATTCATAGTCTGTGGGTCAGTTTATTTAAATTTGGAATGTGTGTTTATGTAATCGACTGTCAGACTTTCCCGGTTTTCCCTTAGAAGTAATATCATACCTTTCATCATTCATAATTTTTTGTCTTTCACGTAGTAACGCGAAGTAATTGTTTCTATTACGATACAGTAATGACGATGAAGGGCAATATGGGCTACGTCCTCTTTTGTCTACATGAGCAAAACCACAGGCCACAGCTAGTATTCTAATACTTAAACAATGACATAATACGGAGGTACTTATATCCAACAAATTTATATCAACACACATAAATTTCCCATGAGAAGTGTCGATTAGGGATTACTAAGTATCCATACAGAAATTGATAAATAAAACACAAATTAATTAAGTTAACAACTTCAAGTTAATTATGGATTTGTCTATATATTTAATTTGTTATTGTTTGTTACTGGTATCCACTCGGTCTTATTCCCTAATGGAAACTAAGTAGCCTCAATTTTTCGGTGAAAATAAAAAAAATGAATTACTGTTGGTACTATGATGAAGTGACGTGGTGTTCAAAATACTTAAATACGCATGTAAGTGCCTAGATAATGTGTAAAATTGTGTAATATTACTTTTGCGTTTGATGGATTGATGTTTGTTACTCTTTCTCGTAAAACTTTCTAAGGTGATCTGAATTAAATTTGACATAATTTTTTTTTGTTTTGATGGTAAAATCATCAAATTACTTCTCCCGCCCAGGGCCGGGCGGGAGGGAGTGTCAGACTCTTACTGACTAAGAACCCCCTGTTCCTTCTCCTGCTCTGGGCCTAGGTCGCGGTGCCTCATTGCGCTTACATCGCAACCCCGGCTGAACATCAGCCCTTTAGGGCCCCGTCTGCGACATACAGACCGATAAGAATCCAAAATCACACAAAGGCTTTTTACCTTTTTAATTTAAATGTGGGAGACGCATGTTTCAAATTTCACCATGAATGGGTCGGGTCTACCGGAGTGATACGACGGCCTCATACAAAACCGGCTTGAAAAAACCACAACGTTGTGTTACGCCGTATGAGTGGATTAGCCGAGGCCTAATCCTTCCCCTCCTCCATCCTTCAACTAACCATCACTCCCCAAACCCTAAATCTACAAATTCCTTATCCCTAAAAGGCTGGCAACGTCGTCGTAACTCCTTAAGGTATTGGGGTCTTTGGGCGGCGTCATGGCCTATTCTAAGGTAATCCGCCGACGCGTTTGCGTCCTACCTATCATATAAAAAAATCTGCCCTTGTAATGCTGGCTAAGCCGCTGACAGTAGTATGGATTAAATTTATTATTGTTGACTTACGTATAAGCAAACAACTATTGTAACAACTGAGGAAAACTAAAATAATAACATAACACACCAACACCAGCTTGGGACGGTATGTTTTATTTTAAAATTAGCTGACGAATTCGATGCGTTGATCTTCCTCAATTCACAAACACAGCTAATTTCGGATTTCCTTGTTGCTTCATTTAAGTTACTCATTTTGGTTTTATATAGATAGGTAGTAATTTGGATATTAAATATAGATATTATAATTGCTTTTACTTCACAACATGCCAACTGTGCTTCGCTTGAACAACTACATTTTTAATATTCAATTTGTATAAAGTAAATATATGTTTAGGTATGTAATAAATCCCTTATCAATCTGTTGTATCCTCTTCTTGTATTCATATACATTATGTATTTGTATTTTGTCAGACTTCAGACACAAAAATGTAGGTAGGTAGGTACTGCGGCCCCGTCCCTTAACAGGAGATTGGATCTGAGTGATTTTTACACAGTAACAGTCTGACATTACTAATCGCCCCACCCAATGCAGGTGAGGTCAAATGATGACTTTCCACTCAAAAAAAAAAAAATATTATTGAGGATGTTTCACTCAAAAAAATCTTTTTGGTACGGGTACCTAAAGCTATCTAATATAATATAATATTATATTATAAAGAAGTAAAATTTGTAAGTTTGTGAGTTTGTATGTAGGTATCTTTGGAGCCTAGGTCGGATTTCCAAAATTCTTTCACTGATAAATAGCTACAATGCTCCTGAGTGCTATAGGCTAAAACGTCACGCTACGATTAAATGGCCGAACAGCGGGTGAAACCGCGCGAGAGTAGCTAGTCTGAAATAATGTGTAACTTTTGATGTGCGGTTAATCCTACATGTAAGCAGATACTGATCCATACCTACACATCCATCCTACACCCACATTTTCATTTTGTTTTGTCAAAACCAACCCGGAAGTTTTGTGTAGGTTCCTATATTATGGGAATATTTATCATAATAAATGAATTTAATAACAACACTGTTACATTTATTGCAAACAATACATTGGTCATGTTATATCATTTATGTACGTTAGGGCAATTTTTTTTTAAGTAAGTAGGTAATTGATTTCATTATTAAAATTTGTTTTCGGAAAAGTTTAATATCTCCTTAATCCCTATATATGGATGTTTTCTTAATTAAGAACTGAATTTATTATTGGTTAGGGTGGAAGTTGCGCTTCGAGACGAAATTTTAAGGTTCACTCTGAAATGTGCGGTTACTCATACTCCCACTTATTTAAGGTGCACATTTTTGCTTCGCCAAAAATATGAACAACATAAATTTCAATTATGCTGTCAAAAATCTAACATCATCATTAAACATCTGGCGGCAATTTGAGAATAATGTTTACAATGTTGTGCTTTTTATACATTCCTAACAACTAACTCGGTTAAGGAGGTAAACCAAAGAAGAAAACGCTCATTTTTTATATTAATTATGGCCGCCATCTCGCCTGGTAATAATCAGTGATGCGACAAACGTTGGAGCATACTTACCTATCCATAGGCAACCTACTCACTTGTGCCTTGAAGACACCCACTCTTCGGGGAACACAGATAGTTTAATTTACACCCAGTTTCCAATACCTACCCCTAATCATACAAGTTCAAATCATTAATTCGTGAAAAATCCCAAGCGTTGGCGCTCCTGCCGTCTCTCGAATTACCACGATAGAAAATTTAATTTAAAAAGGATCAAAATATGAAAGTCTATGCGCCATAATTAAAGGGTTCAATGCATTGGCATACATATACTTACAATTTAAATATTTGGTTTCTACAGGTATTATATTTTTATACTACACTATTACAATGAATTTTATCACGCATATAAGAACAACAGACAAACAAAGGACAGACAGTTCGTTAGCTTACTGGACCAATTTATCAGATTTTGAGAATCCTAGCCATCCAGTTCAGTGTACCTACTTAATAATAATAAAAAATATCACTAGAAGTGATGGTCAATGAAAATTGTATGACAAGAGCACAGACTGCGAGTAAGTACATGGAGACCTTAAATTGATTTTATAAAAAAATACGTAACAATATATTCTCAAACCTGTTGAAATTAAGTGATGATAGCAATGCTATAGTTTTCGCATAATTTTGATTTATTCCTTTCTCTTCCTTTTTGAATTCTTTTGCCGTTTTGTTGTTGTTCACATTTATTAAATGTTCCATTCTATTTTCAAAAACTGATAATTATCACCAATGGAAAACCGACTTCTGGTTTTGATGCAATCAATCGATGAATGATAACTACACACATTTACCACACAAGAGTCAGTTAGCACAAGAACTCAATCTAAGGAATTTTGAACAGAATACAGTCAAGAAATATGATTTCACTTCGAAATAGAATGTTGTAAAAATCTCACTTCATAAAATTGTTGGTTAAGATCATTGTATTCTTCTTCGATCATTAGGAGTGTCAAAAATATGCAAAGTACTACGCGGATAAAAAATCGCAGTTGTTGCTATATAAATATTGCTGTCATACTCCTTGATGTAGATATGCGATTTAATTAATTATTTTCTATTGTCTTTCACACAACCGTCGGTAACGGAGAACAACTAGTGATCACTAGAGATGTTTACTTATGGACCTAAATGTTTGATCAGGATTGTTGAGGCCATTGAAGTCTATGATGTCACAGCAGAACACAATGGCTTGTTCATTGTTTATGTAGATACTTTTCTTACCAACATTGGATCATCAGTAATTTGAATTGTGGTTGCTAAGAACATGGGAACAGAATCATCCCCTATTAGGTACATAGAATATAAAATAACTTAATGTAAAGTGGTAGTTAGATATGTATGTCATATATATATGCAACTTCACCTACCGTTTCTGTAACTAAAAGATTTGATATTGTAATTATTTCTTTGATGAAGCGTCTTATAAGTACTTATAGGGCTTAAATGAAAGTAATACAATGTTTTTTGGAAACATTGTCTTAATAAACATTTTTTGAGCTACTTTGAACCCAAACTATTTGCAGAATATTCCCAATGTTTCGAGAATAAAAAATAGGATACCATCACCATTATTCTATTTGCTTGCTACGTTAATCTATTGTTAAAAGAGGATAGATGTGATGTGTGTTACATAAAACAAAGAAAAACTTTATCGATGTTTTCTAAGTATAAAGAGTCTACGTAGGTACCTACTATTAAAAGTGTGTTACAAGTTAAACAAAATTGCAACGCGAGCTACTGTTGGTTCTTAAAAGTTAAATAAGTATTAAATAACCGCCTACAATCGTTTTCAGTTTACAAAACATTGAAACTAAATTAGAAGTTATAATTTTATGTTTAAGCATAACATTTAACTTAGTAAGACCTAAACGAGTGCCTGTGTCAGTTAACGATGTTGACATTGATAGTGGCGTACGGCAGGGGCAGTGATATGTCGGCATCTCGTCGGTAGGGTTAGCAGGATTGCAACGAGATTAGGCAAATGACGGAGCGGTGCGCGGCACGTTCGTGCGTCGATCCGTCCTTCCCCCGCGAGTGGCGGCGACTTGATTACAGTACGAGGGAGCGAGTGCGAGGCACTGACTGGCGGCGCGCCGGCCCGTACTACCAGTGTTTGTAAGGTCGTAGCCGCAGGCAGCCTGTCGCGCCGCCCGACGCACGTTTACCCGTCTAAACAACATTTTTCTACCTTTTCTTTGGCGCGAAAAATCACCATGTCTGCAACAGACGAACTCAGTGGGATACTCTCGAGGAGGCAGGAGATCAATGACAAACTGGAGGAGGGTTTGGAGGTTAAGCCGAAATATAAATTCGTAAACGTCTATACGGAATTTCATGAGTTCTCCAGGAAGGAAATAAAACAATACGAGGAGACCTTCAACAAGTAAGTGGGCTTTTTATTTTATTAAACTCGATCCTGAGAGATCGCTCTGCGGAGCCGCATCTTCGCAGAAAGCCGGCGTCACCTGACCTTTATTGCTGTAATTACGTGTAAATAGAGTCGCTATAATATTCTCTAATGAATATCTACACTTTTATGTAAATACGTATCATGTTGTATGTGATGATTATAAGAATGATAATGACAGAGAATAAATGAAAGTGAAGTTTAAAGAAGCAAACGTTTTTAGTTAATTGCGGGTAATCGCGTAGACTTGTAAACACTGTAGGTTTTTGAGATACGTAGGGGCTCCAACAAGGTAGGAAATTCGTTTAAATATGCACATGAAACTAAAATTAATTGTAAATAAGTCAACTTATTGAAAGACGCGTGTGTTAGCATATGGCTTTAGTTGCAATTAAAATATAATTACATCTTAGTCTTTCCATACAACGCCAAAAATTTTCATAAAGGCACAAGTTATTCTAAAATTAAAAAACTAAAAAAAATGTCGTTGAACTTATCGAAATATTTTTATTATTTTTAATAACAACGGCATTAAGTACAAATAACAAATTAGCACTGGCCATAATACGAATAATGATGACACAATACAGATAGGATAATAACCTTACAATAGCGAACAGATTCTGCGCTATCTCATTTGACCTTTAGATACGATTTGCTTTGTACAAATCATTTCAATATGAAAAGAGCAATGTTTCAAAATATCTGCTACAAGAATACTAAATAACTCGTGACTTTTAGTTATAACATTAGTTTTTACTACCGAACTACGAGTAGACATAATTATTGCTATCATCATCAGCCTTAGGTAAGTTATTCCCAAAGAGCGCGTCGATTATGCCCTTCTTAGAATTATTGTTGTCAGTCGATTTTCGACCATATAACTGAGGCAACTGTGTCATATTCGATTATAATTAGGCAGGTAACTACTATCTAATCTTTATATGTCCAAAGCTTCCTAATGGTAAAATGCGTTGATTTTCGTTCCAACTTGATAGCGCACTGTTCTACGGGGCAATATTTATTACAACCTCAATTTCATCTCATAATTTCAACCTCTTTTGTCAAAAAAGAAAAAGCTTTTTATCAATCATAATTAAAACCATACTCCTTAGCGTGAACTCTTTAAAAAATAATAAAGCCAACAAATATGTTAACTACCGGTATTACAATTTTAATAACAATGTGAAAGTAGCTATAGAACACAAATTACATAAAATTGAGTTCATAATATAACGTTACATTAGTTAAAAAGAGTCATTTATTAGGTGAAATGACAACGCATCGTCGTGGGAGACAAAAATGAATGGAGTCACGGCATGTTTACGAGTACGTTGTATTTATAATTTACATCATAACGCGAGACTTTCATTCAAGTAGGTAATGATATAACGCGACATATAAGTACCCATTTAATACATTCACACGATCTGCACAAAGTCTTAAGTGCATTTGTCGCATCTTTGTTCGAAATCGCCATCCAGCAGAATTTACTATCTAATCATAGTAAACATCGTCACAAATTACTTACTTACTATGTAATTATTGAATTATGAATGTGTACCAGTTAAGTGGCTTAAGTATTGGTTGGTTTGGCTTTAATTAAAGTAATGAACCGCTTTGGTAATTTACCGTTTAAAGCCATAATTAATAAATAAATAAATATTGATAATTTTATGATTTACTTGGCTTGCTTCTTGCACCTATCATCGATCGAATCCTCTATATATCACTAAAAGGTTCATTATAATCTGACTGACAGAAAATGCCTAAGGATGGTATTAAGTCCACCTTGTACAAAAATGTTTGTGTAAAAACTTAAATAAATAATAACAACCAACATAGGTACATTTTAAATGATACAACAGAAAAGTTTCAGCAAGATAGTTTCAACCTACTTTCCTTTCACACAAGTCCGCAACACAAAAGTCTAGAAGGTAACTAGACCTTCTTCCGAACCGATAGGACTTCCAAACCTTTAAAGGCCGGCTACGCACTTGAGACTCCTTTGGTGTCTCTATGACCATGGGTGGCTCTGATAGCTTACCATCAGGCGATCCGTCGGCTGAACTAACTGTAACTGAAATTTATTTGCTTGTAAGTATATCAGGAAATAACAGGGAAAGCACTATTTCAAATTGTTTACCTGTTATAATGGATTGGAAATGTAACGGCATTTGATTGAGTATTTTCCTTTTTGCTAGTGTCAGTAATATCGGAGGCAATGAAATAAAAGCTTTCTTCTTCCAAACTAAAATTGTATAGTTCTAGAATTGACTTTATTAAATACGCGATGAATTGATGAAATTTGATGAAATTTGATGTTTGAACAATGTTTGCCACATTGTTCAAACAACAGTTCGGGAATTCTTTGTTGTACATAAGAGCTCAAGTCAGTACGAGGAAGTTTCAATCTGTAACATGTTGCCTGTATAAAATTAATAAGCATTTGAAGTTAGTTCAAAAACAAAATGACACGACGACATAGATGATATCGTACTCAATTTTGTTATGAAAGGGATCGCAACGTAACGGAAGTCAATAAAAGGGACAGTATCAATGAAGTTCGAAGCGGGCTACGGGCCTCAGGAACAACCCGCATCACTTATCTATGGCTGCCAGTGTATCGCTAAACAAACATTAGTAAATAATACAAATATTTCCTTAATGTGACCGGCTCTGTTTGTTACTGAAACAATAACTAATACTCATCATCTACTTTCAAAGAAATCAAACAAATCATTGAACAATAACAACACAACACAATGCCGAAGAAGAATGATCAATAGTATAGCGTAACGAATATTAGATGCTTAGAAAAAAAAACTTTTTTACTGGAATATAAAGATGATTAATTAATCGGAAGTATCAAGCTTAGTCAAAAGAAATTAGTCATGTTTCTTAGCAAAACCGGAGGTGTTAAACTTTGTCACAAACCATGAATCATTGTTGACACAGTTGGTAATAAAGTAATCGCTTACCACGTGTTGCCAACAGTTTACTAAACATTATGGCAATGTCAAATGTACATGTTGTGAACTTTGAATTCAAAATTCGAATTAGCCCGGTGTTGTGAGTTTATGATTCGCACTTCTCATTTGAATTGCGAATTTCGAAACCACATTTAAAAAATAGCGTATATTTTTTATTGTCTGTGCCGAGAGCTTCGTAATTTTTATTGAAATTGATCAGAGTGCATTTGAGAGGAAGTGAGACGGAAGCCGGTGTTGATAAAGCGCGGCGCGGCGCGACAAAATCAATGATCGCTATGACTCACTGTTTGCTAACTGCATTTTACATCTTGTTTTGTATAGTTTCAACCTTACCCTTTGTTTCCGCGACGCATGTTAATCAACAACGCGTAATGGGTCATTAAAACCGTATGAATCACTGTGAGTAAACAGCTGATACTGACATATGGAACTTACAATCACTTCGCGTAATGGGCACCTCCGATGATTTAATATTTTATGTTAAACACTTATAAGTTACCTCGATGACGTGCTGATTGGTCATCAATTACACCTGTTACTGAGAAATTGTAATAAGGAGGTAGGTACCTACTTACCTACTAAGAAATTACGTTGATATTAGTTGAATGACTGTTCCGTCATAGATATTCTAAGTACTTACTGTTAGCCGATAAATATAGCTAAGATAAAATATACATATATCTACGACGTAGATATATATTTTAGTTATTTTAGTTATTTGTACGTAGATATATATTTTAGTTATTTTATTTTAGTTATTGTGGACATGTTTACATAGTACATGACCCTGATTGACCCATCTACATATGTCTAAACCTATATCAATTTATTTTTATCTAAAGTTTGTAAACAAATACATACTAACACTAAACTGCTTAACTGCTTACGTTCAGAAACCTTGACGTTTGTTGTAATAGTAGGTATTTTATGTTTTTACGGTTAAATTCGTAGTTTACGATATTTCGCTCCCTCTACGGCAACTTGACATGCAAAACTATTTTTTTTATAAAAGCTTTTTCCTAATCTGTGATGAAATAGGTACCTACTTACCGCGAATTCGTAAAGTATTAATATACATATGTATATATAGCCTTATAGATTTCAACAAATTTATAGAACGTGACGTGAATCAATAATTCATAGTCAGGTACACACTTCGGTTGTAGGTACCTATCGTTTTCTAAAACACGTCAACTTAATGGCGACAAAAATAAAACACAAGCATAATGAATACCTAAGTAAATAGAACATAAGCATGCCATGTATTTTAATTTAAACTTTAAATAGACAATTCCATAAATTTCCCCGCCACATGGGAATATGTACAGGATATATTGTAATAGTAACCCGATATATTGGCACAGTAGGTAATAAACACCGCTGTCCTATATTCTTCGTGTTAACGACTCGTTAAGCACGTCATATTCGAAATTCAAAAAATATCCGCATTAAACACATCGTGTTCACAGATTAGGGTACATAATCAAATTAAAAAATGTTTCCAAATATGTATTACATAATTGTGAATTCATGCCATCATATTTATCTAATTTTTCGATGACCTCCTCAAGCTCTTATTTAATCTGAACGGCAAATAAAACTAAGGTAGGTAATTTCTTATTCAAATCTCCATAATTATTAATCCGTTTCTACCGAACATGTGTGACTGGCATTAAATGAATATTTATAGCTCAATTCTTGACTCAAAGGTTTGAGATTTCGTTCTGCACTGTAAACACAAATATAGCGTCGGTTGCTAACTAGATGAATTCTTCCTAAAAAGTGGTAAGTTAAACAATAACAATAAAATCACACGGGCTCATGGTTGAGACAGAGTTTCGTTTCGTTTCACAGACAATCTACATTCTACCTATGTTGCAATGACATTGCAATTTGCGGTTTAATGCAATATTGCTACTATCAGCTGTAAGAGTAGGTAAAAAGTTCACGTTCAAAAGATACTGACCAGGAGAAAAAAAACAA